CAGTCCAGAGAATTGTGGCTGCTTTATTCATGCTTTGAGAAAAGTTACAGCAGTGATTCTGCAGGTGTGGGCCCCAAACCAGCAGCCAGCATCAACTGGAAACTCGCTAGAAATGCAGAATCTTGGACCCCACCCAGATTTACTAAATCAAAAACTCTGGGGGTGGAGCCCAGCAATGTTTTAATAAGCCTTCTGGGTGATTTTGATGCACCTAAAATAAAGTTCCAGAACTATATTTTTAGATAAACCTGTTAATTGTAATTGATTTCCTTGTTAGTAGTAGTGTCCTAAAATGTCTTCTGGTTGTATTTGGTATAGATCTGCAGCTCCTTCTGGCTCAGGTCTAGTGACATGAGCCATGGGACCAAGGAGTTCCATTTTACCTGAGTGAGGAAAGTGAGGAACCAACTGAGAGTGTACTGGTAGAACGTCCTTGGTTAGGAAGAGCAGAAGTTTAGAGATTAATCAAGCAGAAAAATACTGGTTTGTCTCATTTTGTGAAATTGTAAGAGGTCAGGATTGTAATAGGTGATGGTGAACATCAGTATTTGCATTCAATGAATTTCCATTTCAATTTTTGATAGTGGCACTGGGCAAAGTTACAATCAAAGGGCTGTTAGATTCCAAATACTTATATGATTAGCCATTTTAGAATTGTGATTTGATCAGAGCCCCCAAGTCATTCTGAGATGAGTCCATTTCTGAGATCCAGTCTGATAAGAAAGTAAATATAAGGAATAATTTTAAGTTAAATAAATTTAAAGATAAGAGGAATGAGGTCTGACTAGTGCCCCTGGGATTAGGATGGGGATGGGGAGTTGGCTTGATAATTAATATCATAAGGTGTGGTATAGTGGAAGGAGCTTCAGCTCTGACATGAACACAGGCTTTCGTTTGAGTCCCATCACTTACTTGCTGTGAGACCTCAGGCAAATCATTTGTTCTCTCTGCACTTCACTAATTTGCCAAATGGGGATAATAATGCCTACTTTTTAAGATACTTATATATTTAAATAGAACATAAACACAGGGCTATGCATATGTACTTAAGAAATATTAGTTCTCCTTCCCTTCCTCTGTTCTTCCAGAGACCTTTTCCCTCAAAATAAAGAATATCCTAAAAAAAGAATCTACCATTTAATGCTCTTTCTGTGCTTGACAAGCAGTCCCTTTTTAAAGGAAGAATTCAGATCACATTCCCACCCCTGTCTCTATAACTTAACAGTTGATGGCAGCTTTCCTAATCAGTGGGTCCCTTTCAGGAATCAACAAATAAATAATGTGATTCTTTGCCCAATCATTTGACTCCTTACTTGATATATAACTATGTCTTTGTGATTCTCAGGACTCTGAGGAAATAGTAAAGTTCCCCCCTTTGTAGTCGCACCATCCACAAAACACAGTTTTTTAAAAACTTTTTTGAAAAAAACATATAGAGACAATGAACACCTAATCAGGAGCAGTCTTGACAGTAGAAACCAGATGTCAAAACTTTATAAAAGACGCACAACTAAGAGTAAAGCATCAGTCTGAGAAAACTGATTACTTTGGTGACATTTCTGAAACCAGTGTCCCCAGTCTGTCTAACCCAAGGAAATAGAGCGTAGGGTATGGCCTGCCTGAGCACTTGGCACCATCATTTTTTTCTTACCGTCTTAATAGAGTCCCTCATTGTTTTAGTAGCTGTGCAGTTAATTTTTTTCTAATGGGACTAGGTTAACTAAATCATCTGACAGAAAAGGAGGAGGTAAGGTTAAAAAGGAACCTAATTAGCAAGTTAATTATAGCAGGCAAAAAAGTGCACCGGTTATATAAATAAGCTATTGTTATGCTCATGCAAGCTGGGCCTTGTCAAGGGACTTGTTAAGGTTTAGGGGTCAGAGGGTCCATGTAATTAGGTGTTTAGAGGGGGAAAATAAATAAAAGCAAAGCAGCCACCAGAATTAGGCATGGCTGATGAACTACTAACAGAAATGCCTTGTTAAATTGGGCTCCACTGCTGGAAGGGCTGTTGGAGCTGCTTCAGGGATTCCAGGGAAGGGGAGCCCCCCCACCAAAAAAAAAGAAAAAAAAGCCAGCTAGAACTAGAGCCAACAGAATTGCTGATGAGGAAAGTTTAAAGGCCTAGCCACAAGGGTCCCTGGACGGGAAAGGTGGCAGTAGGGCTGGGAATGTCACTATGCTGAGCAACAAGAAGAAATACGTTGTCAATGGCAACTCTGGGATTAAAGCCCAGGTGAGGCTAAACTCTTATTTACCAATCTTGCTGCTGCTATAGCCATTATTGTAAAAGGCCAGCTGCTTTTTCCCTCCTTTCCTGCCTTCATCCCTCCTTTCGGCATAAGGTGAGCTGTCTCTCTCCTAACAGTCTCTTGCCCACCCTTGCCTTGATGCCTGTTGGAATTAGGCAGTTTTCTCTGAAATGGAAAAGGAACGTTACTGTAAAGGACTCAGATGTTGGGCAAGGTAGGAAAGCTAGGGGTCGAATTTACCAGAGCACCCCAGCTGGGGTGGGTAGGTTACTGTGTTACAAGGTGAGCTGTTGAGTGAAGAATATGTAATGGCATTTAACTCTTGAGGGGAGGTGGGCACCAGGGATGACCTGCTTAAACCAAGTGTTCTGGTTGTCAGTAAAAGACATTTCTTGGGAAAGTTGTATACTTATTCTGTGTAAGTGGTTGGAATCTTTCCAATATTCTTCTGTCTTGAAGAAACTTGAGCTCAGTGTCTAACAGGTAAGAAAGATTTAGAACCCTTTGTCTTTGAGAGGAGAAAGCCTAGTCTTCTTCAGTGCCAAAAGATAGCCTAAACTTGACCTCGGTGGGAGGAATTACTATAAATGGAGAAAGACTTTATAGAGAAGAGGGCTTGGCTTAGAGAAACTGACTTGAGATGATGATTGTAAGATGGCTATCTGGTTTCATGTTATTGGGGTAAATGGGTCTGTATGTACCCACCCACCTGGATCCTACTCATCTAGAGAAGTAGAGTGACTGCCCCCTCTAGTGGTGGTAGGTAGGAGAGGGTCTTTATGTATCTGAGGCAGGTTTATTGGTCACGCATTTTTGAAGGAGGCAGTGCTGAAGTTAATGACTCAGTGTGGCCTTTGAAAAGTCAGTTACTACTCCATTTCCTAGAAGGTCCTCCAAAAAAAGAATAAAGACATTGTTGTCTTGAACAAGTTTGGTGAAATGGAAGCCAGAGTTTTGAGCTTGACTGCTATCCCCATCTGTATCTTCTCACCTTCCTTACCCTTTCCAACTTTTCTGCCCTTAAAAATTCTTTTAATGCCATAATTTTTGTAAATTCTTTTAATTTTAGACTTGCCTTATGCTTACCATAATTTACTTAGTATTCAACCAAGTACAGACATGAGGATAGAATACACTACAGATTCATTGTTTCAGCCCACATTTGTGCCTGAGGATATATGGGTAAAAAAGATAAAAGCTCCTGCTTTTATGGAGCCTATGGCTTATACAGGATACAGGTGGTTAGTTATACCCAGTGTGATGAGTGCTGTGATAGGAGAAATATGTGGAAGTTCATGCACATTCTGAAGAAAGTACACTTGCTCTTTCTAGAATCAATTGCTGTTTTAGCAAAATAGTCAAATTTTGTCATTTTTCATTTTGTGAAGAGCTTCTAATCCAATTAATTTTCCTGTTGCTGAAAATAATTCTGAAACTCTAAAGTACTGCACAGGTTGTTGTTATAGCTATGAAAATATTATAAATTCCCCTAAAAGGCATGCTAAACTAATTCAGCTTGGCTTTGGTCCCCTTGTCTCAATACTCAAATGACTCAATAATTACCTCTAACTGAAGGAAACTAGCCATCAGTTGCTGCTTTCATTCTGATATGCTGTATCTGTATGCTGTCCATCAAGGAACCATCTTATCTATCCTGTAAGGTAGAATCAGTTGTCAATCTTTGATCCCTCCTGCATCCCTGCCACTATGGATCTAGAATAATTTAAGCAATTATGCAAACATTCAGTTAGGGGGGGAAAGTTTCTTGAATAAACTATATGAGTGTGGATTTGTAAAGTGTTATAAACTATCATCTGGAACCTTTAACAGTAGGAGAAAAAGATAAAATTGCAATTTAAAAAATATTGTCCAAAATGTAACCCTCAGAGTATTGAGTACAGTCATCCACTCCTACATCTGTTAATAAATTATCTATTTTGTGGCTCTTTGGCATTTTATGATACCAAACATTAACAAATTAATGTTTACTTATTAGTTCTGAAAGTCTAATTAATTCATTTTAGAAAGCCTTTAAAAGCTGGAGTGACTACTACAAGAGTTACAAGAACAGTGAACTGTAGGGGTGGGGGAGAGGACTTACTGAATCTTCCACTAAGTTTCACAGTTTACATATATTGTTTCATTTAACCATCTAAAACTTAAGTTCTTTCATGTTTATTGTATTTATGAGCAAATGAGGCTCACAAAAGCATCTTGACCAATATTACACAGCTGATAAGTGGAGTAACTAGGATTTGAATGCAGTTCAAGAAAGTTCTGTCTGAATGGAAAACTTTTTCTTTTCATTATACCATACCATTGTAAAACCTGAAGGCAAGTCACTTTACCTTTCTGTACCTTGCAGTTTTCTTATCAAGATATATGAATATTGGAATAGTGTTAAAGATTCTTTCAAGCTTTAATTTTCAGTAAAACTACTGAAAGGATTTCTGAATATGCCTCAGCTTTCTAAAAATACATTTTAACCAGTCTCCTTTTTTTGTTGGTCACAATTTTATTGTAAAAGACATATAGTCAGAGAGTGAAGCAAAGATTTAAGTTTGATAGAAACATAGTAGGTAAAGAATGAAAAATCATTCTTTCTCCAGAAAGAATTAACATCCCAAGTGTGGGTTGGTACAGTCAGATCAATTGCAAGGGAAAGTAAGGTGCTGTAATACAAGCCTTGAATTGCCATCTCCAAATGGAAGTTCTTTTCCTTTATATAACTAGAGTTCTTTTTCTTAGCAGATTCAATTTGCTGACCAGAAGCAAGAATTCAACAAACGTCCCACCAAAATTGGACGTCGTTCTCTGTCTCGATCCATTTCTCAGTCATCTACTGACAGCTACAGCTCAGGTGAGTACTGAACTGCTCTGGACCCTCCTGTCTATCCAAGGCAAATTAAGCATGATCAAGCTTGAGCTTTGGAATAAACACTTTGACTCTCCATCAAAATTTAGGCCAAATTTCTGGGTGGAAACCTTGGATTCCTCTTGGACATTCAGAGCAGCGCTTAATAGCAGCCTTCTCTTCCAAACAGAGCAGAAGAGGGTATCAAGGAGACTGAGTTCTGATTTATTCTGAGGGTGGGGTATGTAGTTCCCTGATGACTTTCACTGAACAATATGTGTAATGACTTTTGTTTTTTCCATTCTTTGAAAATAAAAGAGGACTTCCCAATTCCTCCATCAGGTACTTGCAAAATAACTGGGAATACTTCACCTCCCCAAGAAACAGTGAAAATGTTATAACTAATTCAAGTGAGCCCTTTGCCTTCTAAGCTGGGATATTGTGTTGCTTGTTATTCCTTCCTTCCTTCCTTTGCAGTGGTGGTTAATGCAAATATATGGGCCCTGAGGCTGAATTATCATTTAATGCCAGATGAGCTATTGCCATGTAGCTCATGTAACTTGAGGGCATTGACCATTTATGCAACAGTGCCCAGTAAGTGTCTGACCTATAGTGGAGCTATTTTATTTTGCTCTTGTGTTGGAATGAGGAAGGAAGCTGAGTGTTGGCCCTAGTTATTTTATAATTATAAATAGTAATATTCTTGAGAAAATTTTCATTATGACCTGAAATTTTATTTGTTCTTCACACAAATAGGAAAGTAGTGTTTGTTATATAAAGTTGAAGAAAGCTTGTTTGTGAAACTCTAACTTTTAGGTTGGGTAGATTGTTATTTATACTTTTTACATTTTGGTTTTTACTTTTCTCCACAATAACTGAATGATGTAAAGCACATGATATAAATCCCTATGGATTTTTGTTTAAAGAAACTAAATTTTGTATCTGTCTTATTCTGCTGTAATACCAATGTTGAAAATTCATGAACCAGTTAATATAATATTGGAAATCATAATAATTGTGAAAATCTGAATCACAAAACAGTGTGTAACATTTCAGACTGTGAGTTTGTGCATGTTATCTAAAGACTGATACTAAATAATAACTATACCAAATTATAACTCCAGCTCAATCTCTTCCTTATACACTAGATCCACACTTCCATCTCTGTTCCTGCAGAGAAAACCAATGCCTTCCTTCCCACTGAACCCCTATATGCAAGGAAGGTACTTAAAAAATAATTAATTTACCTAGAAGAGTGTGATTGATGCCCTTGGTTTCTAAGTAAACACACAGTTGCCTGGTATAGCTCATTGGTGGTATTGACTGGTGTCACCCTGGAAAACTTGGACCTTTAGGTTGAACTGTATGAAATTGCCATTCTTTTTAGTAAAAAATTATTAACATATATTTATTTACAGATAAGCAGTTCAGGAGCATGGAGTCCAAACATCCTGGAGATAGAAAATAACTTAAAGTTCAGTTATTCAGCCTCCCACTGGATGCTGGAATTACCTTGATGGTATCCCTGACAAATGGCCATCTGGCCTCTTTGGGAGCATTTTAGAGCAAACAATGATCCTTTACTTTATGTAGTTATTTAGTTTCTGATAAGCTACAGAATAAGTTATTTAGTTGCTGATAAGCTTCTGAAACAATCCTGGAATTTAAATATTTTATGTAGAAATAAACACCATTTTGAGTACATCCCACTGTGCTGGTTACCCTCATCTGGATATATTCCAGATGGTGTCTTTTTAAAAATATTATGCCTATTAATATAATATTCCAGATATGGTATGAACTAACCTATAGGAAGTGTTATTTCCATAAACTCAATGCTTTTAAAATGAAACATAAGACTATGTTTGCTCCCTTTTTTAGAGCTGCTGCCTTGTTTTGGTTGTTGAACAGTTGTCAAGCCCTTTTAAACAAACTGAACAGAGATGCCTACTACCTTGAGTCTTGGACTAGGAGTTAGGAGAGACCTAGTTTCTAGGCTTTGATTCATGTGTGATTTGTTGTATGATCCTGCAGACTCTAATGTTCATAGTAGAGGCAGTGGGAAGTTATATGAAGTATTTAAGCTCCCAATGCATCAAATGAAAAGCCAGAAATAATGGAATTGAATCAAAACTTTCTAAAAACAAGAAGGTATGCGATCCATGTCAATAAGACCTTGGAACCCATTTTAAGCATACATTATAAGCATCCTGTTACTTGGATGTTTTAAAGGCATCTCAAACCTCCCATGTCTTAAAAACTGAGTCCTGAGTTTTGCCCCTCCTCAATCTAGTCACAACACCATATATAACCAGATTCATTCTTTTAAAATAAATCAGGTCTTACCACTTCTTACTTTAAAACTCTCCAATTGCTTCTCAGTCTTCTGAGCAAAGGCTTAAGTTCTTATGGTGGACTACAAAGCTCTTAACCATCGCATTACATTAACGTCTTATCACATCTTTGCTTTCCTCAAACTCCTTTCTCTCCCAGCTATTTGCTTCACTCTAGTCATATTAGCCTCTTTACTGTTATTTTGTTATTTTAAAACATACCAGGCACTCTCCTGCCTTCAGTCCTTTGCATTTGCTATTTCCTCTCCCTAGAATGCTCTAAGATACCCTAGCTGGGCATCCTACCTACTTCAGTTCTTAACCAAAGATCACCTTCTCATTGAGGCCTATCCTGGCTACTCTTTTAAAACTGTATGAACACCCTACCCAACACTGGCTATCAAATTTCCTCTTTTATTTTTCTCCATAGCACTTATTAGCATATGACATACTATATATTAGTAATTTATTGTCATCTTTCTCCCCTTACTTGAGTATGAGATCCAAGAGAGCAGAGATTTTGTGTTTCATACTTCTTTATTCCCATCACTTAAAACTGTTTTGACACATAAGAGGTGCTCAATAATAAAATATATTGATGAAAGGTGTTCTTTTTATACTTAATACCCTTGTTGAGATCTCTGATATACTCTATGTATGTGAGTAGTTAGGAGAAGGTTTATGACATTTCAAAAAAACATACCTTCCCATCAAAAGTGCTTATTTTGCTGAAGATACTTAGAGGCCTATTTTCTCCTCCTAATGATTTAAGTTTTGTTAGATCATTTTCAAGTTTTGTTTATTCCCTTCCTAGTACTAAGTTTTGCCATGCTTTCATTTAGGAACCTCTACTGGCCTTTCTCATCCAGGGTTCCTCAAGTGAATCACAGACCACAGAAAATAATTTGAGAGACTGTTTTCTCAGTTCTCCAAATGATGGTTCAAACTAAGTACCCTTCTAGATGGATAGGAGAGAAGTTAATTCATATATTCAATGGATGCTTAAAGGCATTAGGGCTTGATTCTAGTGGAACCCAGGTTGAAAAAGACTGCATTAATCCCTAAAATTATTTTATAAGAAACAAACTTCTAAAAACCCTCTCCCTAAACACAAAACCTCATAAAAACAAATGAACGAAAGAGACTTTTCTTCAAAGTCAGATCATTCTCAGTGATACATTTCTGTAAAGGCTGTCTTTACAGTGAGTTAATTGGTTAAAGATAAAGGAGGACTGAAGTCCCTTAGTTCATAGTTGGCTCTTAGAAAGTTTGCAATATTTTCAGATTTTTCCAAATAACAAAGTTTCATTTGTTTGTTTGTATTTTGGTTGCTAACATAGCTTTTCACATATTTCTAGAGTGTTACTCACCAGTGAAATCTGCTGTGCATTGACACACAGGTCCCTACTGTTATTTCCATTATCAAATGAATAGATTGGGCCCAAGAGAAATTATGTGACTTAAAATAGTCTAATAGGACTAATTTGACCAGGAGTCTGACTGCTTCTCCTAACAGTAACCCACAGTATCACAGCTGCTAGGAGATAAGGCTTAACCAGACTTGAGCCATAGAACTTGTTATATGCATGTTCTATGGGTTAGAGGATGGGTAGTGATTCAAGTTATGTTTTGATTCTGGGATATCATGAAACAAAAGAACATCCAGGGCAAAGATATATTTTACTTTATTCTACTTTTCTACCTAGAAATTGAACCCTTTTTTTGCTATTATTTATTCATAAGATTTTTCTGATGATGGGAGGAGAGAGGATCCACTATACTTATTTTACAGTTGGATAAACTGAAAATTAGTCACTTAATCAATTAGAGGTGAAGCTAGAGCTAAAGTCTCAGACCTATATTTCAGATTATTGCCTTGGTTATTGATTGTTCATTTTTAATTAAATTATGACTCTGGGCTTCAGGTATGTTGGCAATTATAAACCCTTTAGAAACTATTCAAGCTTGTGTATATGTGTGTGTTGGATTTCTCTATGTTTTCTGAGGAAAAAGTCTTTCATGTTATCCTAACAATTTTCATGAATGTGCTACTTATGTATAGTGGCAGAAAAGAGTATAGATTTAAAAAATAAGTGTCATGTTAGTTCAGGAATAATCTTTTCACTCTGTTTGCAAAAATAACCCTTTGTTGTTCTGGGTCAGATATTTTGCATTCACGTATTAGGACATCTTAGACAACTGATACTTTTGGTTCTTAGATGATAACAAATCTGTATGAAGGGCTCTTTGAAAACAAATCTATTTTGGCTCAAAGAAAAACACTGGTTGAGCTAACTGTAACCAGTTGACTACTGTTAAGAAAATAAAATATCATTTTTCCCTTTTAGAATAGGTAAGTGGTATAAATAGTTTTTTTTTCTTGTGAGTTGGAAGGAAACAAACCAAAAATTGGAGTATTTCTTATAAGGGGAAATTTGGTGTGTTTGGGGTGGTGTGGTGGTGGAGGTGTTGTTTGTTTTCCTGACTCATCCTTAGAGCTGAAGAGGCATAAAAGAGAGCTATTCTGGGTAGAGTTAGGACTTGAGTGTCAACCTTTTTAGTCACTGCCAGCAACCACCTGCTGCTTGGGTAGATTAGTAGATGACGGAGTAGAAAAAAAAGAAACTGCTAAATAATATTGTATGTATGTCATTCCTCTCCCATTCAAAACCCTGAAACTGAGTAAGAACACCTGAAGATGTTATATCTGGTATTGAATTAAAAATATCTAAAGCTGGTAATAATATCAGGTATCATTTATTGAGTGCTGGATTACTTTGTGCCAAGCATTGCTCTAAGCACTTTACTTACATTAATTTATTTTAATCTTCTCAACAAGTTGGCTCCAACAAGCCATGTCTTCTATGGAAAGAAAAACTCGAAATAGTTAATTTGTAATTAGTTATTTCATCTCTAACCCACCTACTAGACTGACAATTCCATGAAGGTAAAGATAGTACTAATCTCTACTGTATTCCCAGCACTTAGACTACACCTAGTACATAGTAGATATGCAATAAAAATTTATTGAATGAACAACTGAATGTGTGAGTGACTGAATACATGAATGAATTATTAACCCCATTAAACAGGTTCTAGTATCACTTAAACAAGGTCTAGTATAACTTCTACTTTATACACCCAGAAACAGAGACTGAGACTTCAACCAAAGTCTGTCTGACTCCAGAACACACAACCACTAAATGGCCATTGGGGATGTAAAAATCATAATTCTAGAAAAGGATATCAAGTTTTAGAATATTCTGAATGTAGACACTTTCTCCAAAAGCAATTATGCAATAGATTCGTATCAAGATTAGGGACAGCTATTATCTTTTTTCCCCTCAGGTGATAGAAGCATGGGTCCCCTAAACCTCCAGTTCATAAACTATTTCTGAGTATTGATGAGTGAAACAGATGACTGCCCAGGAAGCTGTTTCTGGGCTCTGTTGCCAAAGGTACTTTGAGCTCTTGCTCACCCTAGGAGGGGAGAAGCACAAACTTTTTGTACAGATTAGTTTCTTTAAGAACAAAAGTCCCTTTGGGGATTTACTAATTCCCTCACCTCCCCTGGTGCCTATGCTCATTCTTGTTGCCTCGTGTTAGGACTTTGCTCCAGGGCAATTTTCCAACTCCAAGAGAGATACTTAGGCCCCTGCTGCCCACACCTTTAATAGTGCCATGCCTGATTAACTGGACAAGGTCAGACTTGCCTTTTACAGCCCTCCCAGAGATAGACCCTTTGCTAAGAAATCCAGAAATGCCTTAATTCTCTGGATGTAAATCAGTCAGCACTGCAGACCCAAGAAGCTGTGAGCTTTTGCCGCTTTCTCCCCTTAAAAGTGATGAAAGTACTTATCCCATTGAGAGATACATAATGCTTTATCGACAGAGCTTCATATCCCCAGCTTCCTCCCCACCTGCCCTCTACCCCTCCCAAAAAAAGAGCCCCCCTTGAGGGCTAATTCAGAAGAAACTATCCTCAGAAACTTAGACATAAATCATGGAAGTGGATTAATTAAATTTATACAGCAAATGATTAGCAACTACAGAATTACATGAAGACTAAAAATACCTCAGGTAAACATGAGAATAGCAGCAGAAGCAGCTGCCTGTTAGCCACAACCAAGTCTCAGACCTTCTACTCTCTAGTGTATATTGCTAAATGACTCAGTCATCAGAGCATTTTATTATATGCAAAGAGGATTTACCCACTTGGGAATCTAAAATGCCTAATGCAGGACCCACTGAAGCCAGCAAGAAGGGAGAATACACTGAATACTTCGTTGTCCATGTCTAATTGGGTCTGCAGTCATAGTTCAGCCTCATCAGAGCCAGCCTTAAAAAAGAAAGCTCTGTTATGTCAGACAAACACTTTTTGTGTAGTTCTTAGTTACTTTCCCATGGGTTCCTTGTTTTATAGGTCTTATCTGTTTCAGTTATTATACTAAAACAGAAATTACATCAGGCATTTAAGCAGCAGAGAGAGAAGGGTAGCTAGGAACCCAGAAACCTGTAAAGTAATGGCCGTGATCTTGGATTAAAAACTAACCTGTTGCTACCATGGTGTAACCTCTCTCTTTTTGCATATTCAAGGATTTCTGCGTCCTCTGAAGGTGAAATTAGCCCCACATTCCAAGTTAATGCTACCAGGGGGAATGTCTGTGGCAACCTTTTCAGCTTCCTCTTTCTGACCTGTGGATAGCACTTTTGATGGGGGATTATAGAGACATCTCCACAGTGCCTTGTAGATACTTAACAGCTGTGTACATTTGCATGGTGCCAGGTGACTATGGAAGTCACTGTTCACTCCTTGGTTTGCAATTTTAGAGGAAGCCATTTATTCGCCTGAGGGTTTTTTATTCTATCATTCCAGCGGCTTCATATACAGATAGCTCTGATGATGAGACCTCTCCCAGGGACAAGCAGCAAAAGAACTCTAAGGGAAGCACTGACTTCTGTGTCAAGAACATCAAACAGGCAGAATTTGGACGAAGAGAAATTGAAATTGCTGAACAAGGTGAAAAAAACAAGCACCTTTTCCTTCTCAAGCTGCCTGTGTCTTTTTGTCCATGTTAATACCTTTCTACATCCTGGGGCTTATGAAATTTCAGTGCGATTTTGAAGAATACGTATAACAAAAGAAATCTGAGCTCATGAAACACTGTGGGGTGTGAGTGAACTCCAGAGGGTGTTGAAGGAACCCAAATATACAAGGAATAGGGAGAGGGACTACGTAAGGATGACTGGGATATAGGGAGTCAGAACCCTGCAGCGTCTGCCTCTGAAAGCCCTTTATAAAAGAAAAATCAGGTGTAATGGCTTGGTCCTTTGAGTAACCAAATCTAACAAAGAACCAGATGAGGGGAAGGATATTACCTTAAGAGAGTAAGTTTTTGTGGTTATTCTGTATCTCTCATTCCCTCCTAATATTGCTGTGTATGTACTGGGCCTTTTCAGAAATGCCTGCACTGATGGCTTTGAGGAAGAGAGCTCAAGGAGAAAAACCTTTGGCTGGAGCCAAAATTGTGGGTTGCACACACATCACTGCTCAGACTGCTGTGAGTTCTTTTCCTTTCTCCACGTAGTAATAGTTAATAATAGCCAACCAGCTCTGAGTACTTGCAACATCCCAAACACGGGTTAGAAGCTTAACAAGTATTAGTTCATTAATACTCATAATGGCCATGTAAAGTAGGTGTTACTGTTTCCATTCTATAAACAAGGAAGCTGAAGATCAGAGAGTTTAATTTTTCCAAGGTTACACAGCTAGTAAGTCATTGAATCAACATTTGAACTTCAGTATATCTGCCTCCCAAGTTGATGCTTTTTCCATTATACTACACTGCCTCCCCTGATCTTCTCTTTGAGTCATTTTTACAAGGCAACTCTGTGTCAGGCTGCTTTCAGCTGCAAATAAGTGAAAACCTGATATGACCTGGCTTATACATATAGGGATCTATTCCATTACATAACTAGAAGTCCAGAGGTAAGGCAGACTTCAGACATGGGATCTCAGAGCTCTGATTTCTTGTCTGTGATTCTCCTGGAGCTGCCTCCTCACTGTGTTTACTCCCTTCTCAGGCTGATTGCAAGATGATTTTAGCTCTTTAAGCCATCACAAACTGACATGAAGACAAAGTTTCTTCCTCTCTCAAGAGCAAGAAAACCTTTCCCAGCAGTCCTGTAGGGTACTCCATTCTGTGTCATTGAGCAGAACTGGATCACATGTCCATGCCCCACCAGTTCTGGCAAGGGGACTGTGATTACCATGATTGATTTAGACCAGTGATACCCACCTCTATCATACTGAGCGTTCCCTTTTAGAAAAAATATTTTACAATGTCCCTGTATTATCTTGAAATGAAAATCAGATATAATATACCTAGGTACACATAAGTTTTTTAATTAACATAAATCTTACCTGAAATATGAAGGAGGAATAAAAGGAAAGTAAAATGAAATAATGCATTTCAATATGTAAATGCTTGGCAGAAGTATAGTAGAATATTCAGGTATTTGTACTTACTCATAGCATTATTTAATGAGAACACTACAAATGTAGATAGATAGTAATGTTATAGGTTCCAGAGCAGCAGAGCAGCATCGCCAAATTATATGATTTTCTGAATCATATTATAATCAAGTTATAAACAACTTTTTAAAGTTCCTGAGCAACAACAAGAAGTGTGAGTTTCTCTTGATTTACACAGTTGTATTCCTGGAAGAACTACTATTGTTTTGTATTAAAACTACAAAAGTACTTTTTATTAATATTTAACGTGGAATAAGGTTCTAAATTCAGATAATTAAAAATAGGTTTTTCTCCCATGTGAACTTCTACTGGAATATTTGAAAATTGAACCAGATGTGTCACACTTCTTTTGTTGTAAGACACTACCCTACACTTTCAAAATCCTAAGATCCCTGGCCCTCACCACTGAATGCCAGTAGTACTCCCCTGACCCGCCCCAGTTATTGTGACAACCAAAAATGCCCTCAGTTTTCTAGAGCTCCTTGGTTGAGAACCACTGACATAGAGTCATCATCAAAGATGTAATAGGGAGTTGCCAACCATGATGAGATCACTATGGGAAATTGGTGTATTGGAGAAATAGTTTGGAATCTTTTATAGGATTTAAAGATTCGGGTCATCTGTATGGTTTGATCAATTTTCAAAAGACTGTCTCCTGAAGCACAAGACTCATTTATATGGCCAAATTCCTGATTAAGAACAGCAGATACTTTTCAACAAATACAAAGCTGCTGTTAGTTCACCATGAGACTTTTCTGGATCTCATGTTCTTTGAGGGAAAGAGTACCTTGACTGCCCAAAATTAATATAATAAATTGAAAATCTGTCTCTTTTTGGAGCTATAGACTAATGAATTAAGGTAGGAATCCTCTTGGAAACTTTTTGGGCTCCCCCAGTCAGGGACATGAGACCTTCAGTGTGGTGGCTTAAAATAGTAAGTGCTTCTGTAGTGTCTCATGTTGCTAAGTTTCTTTTTGCCTCTGGCTCACTGAACATTATACCCCTTCAAGGTTCCATTCCATTTTTTCCTGGATGGAGTAATCAAAATTAGTTTTCCAATTTTAATATTATTGTTCCCTCCCTACATTTTTTCTTTTTTCTTTAAAAAGACAATTACAAAGGAATTTTGCTTTGTTTTGTTTTTAATCTCTATTTCCTTTTTCTGTTACAAAAGCAGTTCATTTACAATACTCAAACATTACCATAATCTATAACATAGAAAAACTGTGTCTCGTGTAATCCCATACTCCAGAAATAGTTAATGGTTTACTCTCCATCTTTCTAATAGGCTCTATTTATATTTTTTAGGTGTGTTTCTATAGTTCCTTCTAACCAGATTCCCTTGCTAAATGGTAATGATTCAAAGTCAGGTTAAACCAGCTTCTAAGCTCTGTCCCTCTCCCTCTCCTGCCTACTTTTACTCCTGCATAAGCTCTAATAGCCAGCAATTTTTACCATAGTCCTTTGAACAGTTCTTGTATTCTTGGTCCCATTTTCTTTTCTAATCAATTTATATTGCTTAGTAGGTTAAGTCTCAGTCTTATTGTTTTGTTTGACAAGCTCAGGTATCCTAGTTGTAGGAATTCAGAAATTAAATTGAAAAAAAAAAGAGAAAAAAATAGGATCAGATATTGTAAGGTAGTATGGACTAGAAACTAATACATATAAGTAGTTCTGGTATTAACTAACTATGTGGCCTTGGACCAGTTATTTGAGGGGGTTAGCCTAAATTAGTAGAGACTTTTGCAAGTATTTTTTTCAATTAAAGCATATTTTTAATTACAAGTTTTATTTAGTATAGAAATATTAGAAAACACAAATTTTTAAAAATGAAAATTACCAGTGCCCAGAGTTAACTACTGTCAGAAAATTTTAAAACAAGCTTTTTAACCAAAGCTTTAGTCTTGTTAAATAGTTCTTAATCAGTACAATATGGTGGCACACTACCTTCTTAAAAAGAATACTATCTCCATCTAATATATTGTAGTAAAAGTACATCAGGATCAAATCGGTAGATTAAAATTTTTTAAATAATCTTTCAAAAATTTGAAATAAAGATTTATAGAAAAGTTGCAAGACCAGTACAGATAACTTTTTCTGAGCCATATGAGACTAAGTTGCCAACCTGATGCTCCTATCCCTACAAATTCTTTAGGGTATATCTTCTGCAACAACATTTTCTCATACAATGAGTACAACTATTCAAAATTACAAGATAACATTGATTCATATTACCACCTAATCCTCAGACCCATTGTTTCACTAATCATCCCAATAATGTTTTTTATAATAAAAATATCCAGTCTATAGTTAAGTGTCTTATTAATTGTCATCTCTCTTTATTCTCCTTTAACGTGGAACAATTCATCAGTCTGTCTTTGACTTTCATGACCTTGACAATTTTGAAGATTATAGATGAATTTTTTTGTAGAATGTCCTCAATTCAGATTTTCCTGATGCATCCTCATTATTAAAATCAGGCTATGCATCTTTGGTAGGACGTGATGCTGCATTTTTGTCATTGGATCTTATCAGGTGGCACATTATTTAGATTTCTCCCATAACTGATGATGTGCGTTTTGATCCCTTGATTGAAGAAGTATCTGCCAGACTTTTCTACTGTAAAAGTTAATTTTTCCTTTTTGTAATTTATTAAGTATCTTGTGAGGTAGTAATTGAAACTGTGTAAATTTTCCATTCTCCATCAAACTTCCAATTTATTCATTTATTTTTATTTGTGTGGAATCATTGTTTCATATTTTATTTCAATGGTTGTACTCCATTACTCTCCTTTATTCTGATGCTAGATTTCAGTTCTGTTGTTCTGCACCATAGGCTACAAATTCCTCAGCAATGGGCTGCTGTTTACCTTGTGATGTGAGTTACCAGAGGACTCTACTCAGTGTTTGGGCTCCAGCCTTAGCTTTCAGCTGCTTCTACACATGCTTGGCATGAGGGGCTCTATCTTCCAGCCCCACATGCAGCACTTAGACTGCTGCTCCTGTTTTCCTGGACTTAGACTTGTGGTGAGGGCAAGTGGGGTTCTTGGATCTCCTGGTGGAGCCTCAGTATTAGGCAGGCCTCTGTGAGAATGTGGGTTTTTGTTTTGTTTTGTTTTGTTTTTGCCCCTCCTCTGTAGCAGCCAAATTTTGCCTTGTATCTGGTCTTTTGCAGGAGATATTTTCCTGCCCCTTCTGGAGAGGTGACAGATCTTTACTTTGTATCAGTGCAGGGTCCTGGGCCCAAAGGGGTTTCCTGCTACTCCCCCAGGAGCAGAGTTTTAGCTTCTATCTTCTCCTAGAAGCAGTGGAGCTTTGCCTAGTCCCAGGTGGCAGGCATAATTCCTGCTCCTCTTCCTACAGCTTAAGGCTTTTGCTTCCTGTGAGAGTGTGGTGAAGTGCCCAGGTTTTGTGCCTGTCTTTGAACATAGCCATCATCTCTTCCCAGTCTTTCTTGCAAGCACTAGGAGGAAGCCCTGGAAAAGAGCTTGCACTTGAGTGTGAACTACCCTTGTGCCTGGGGCTACCAGAAATTCCAAACTGACACCCTTTCCCATACTCAGGCTTTACTAATACATTAAAATACAAGCTAATTTTATTTTACCTTCATGTATGGCAGCTACCTCTTCCTCCCATTCTCTGCAGAAGATGAAATTATTCCCTCTCTCCTTACAGGGAGTTTTGATTTTGAAGTTCAGTTCACTTGGTTGCTTTATGACTTCCACTATTTGATGGGCTCAAGAAAAGTTACAGTTTTGTAGATTATCCAGTCTTTCTGGTTAGGGTAGAAGCTTCTCTTGCAGCTTTCTACATCCTAAGAAGAAGCAGAACTGTATCTTGGTGGTTTTTTAAAAATATTTTGGTTCCAAAATCCTTGGCTTAAAAGTCTTATAGGGAAGCCCACTTTGTCACGTAGGTAAAAGCATAGAGCTCAGCTTCTTCCATGCTTACTCCCAGCCTTTGCCCTCTTCTCAAGATAATGAAGAATTTCTGTCGAGCATAACTTGAAAATCATTGGCCTCCATTATTCCTAATATACTTCTTGCTGTCAAATACATAGATTTAATTATCTTGACTAATTGTTTGGTTCAGACTTGTTCATCTCCTGCTTTCTCTTTTAATACAGGTACTTATGGAAACTCTGGGTGCCCTTGGGGCACAGTGCCGATGGGCAGCCTGCAACATCTATTCTACTCTCAATGAAGTGGCTGCTGCTCTAGCAGAAAGTGGTAGGATCTTTTGCCTATTCTCTGTGTCTGGCTAAACTCAGTCTCCAAAAAGTTCCATTGTTTCAGTGTAAATCTTTAAGGAAGACTAATGTTAAAAGAGCTGTCTTGGAAGAAATGGATCCCTATTCTTGATGAGTTTGCTCTCTTTCTGGGCTTCTTATTAAATATGATCGAGGTAACTTTGTTTTTCTTACAGTTGGTAAACATCTTCTTATGTTTATTCCATTATTAATGCTTTGCCTTGACTTGCTAATATTAGGGCACCAGTGGACACTACTCACTCTCTAAGGTGATATGTGTTAGGAAAAAAAAATGCTTTAGGCATAGTTTTATGGTACTGCAGATTTCTCAGCAGTTTGCCCTGATTTAATGTTTGGTATTTCTGCTTCAGCAGTAAAAAGGACTTGGCCTGGCAGATTAATATTTGATCACAATGGCCACTGACACTTGAAGGATGAAAGAAATGGAGAAATTTGGACTTTGCTAGTTTCTTGCCTTGCTCCTCTGGCAGCACAACACAGGTCAGGGTACCAAACACTTGCTTCAGATTTCTTGAGAAATGCTGGGAAAGCTCTGTAGTATATGCATGTCTTTCTTTTTTGCTAGTACTTCAGTATTTCAATTGGTCTTTTATTTCCACTCATTCACTACAGGATTTTTATTAATGTATAAAATATGTGTAGAAAAGCACACACTAGATATTTAGCCCAATGAATTGTACATACACATTCACTTCTTTTTTTTTCTTCTTTTTTCAACAATTGCTCATTGACCTACTCTAAAAGATATAAGGACAAATAAGACAATGTCTTTGACCTAAGAATCTTATTTTGTGGTTGAAGAGAAAATACAGATATATAAATATATGTGATGGTATATAATATATATAATGACAATACAAGGGCATATATGATAAATGCAACAACAGATCATAAATCCACAGTCAGTACACAAACAAGGGGTTTATAAAAGTTCAGATTCCGTGAGAGATCACTTCCAGCTGATTAATCAGGCTTCATTAGGAATATGACACTTAGGTGGGCTGTGAGAAGGACAGCATTTTAACTAGAGAAGAGTGTAGGGCTTTCGGGATGAAGAGGGTGGGAGGACTAATAGAGACAAGAAAGCTCAAAATGTAGTTGGGAAATAGTAAGAATTCTAGTTTGACTGTATTAAGAAGTACTTATTTCTGGTTTCTTTTTTTTCCCTTCAGTCATATTTTTAGCATTCATCACACTCTTGTCCCTTTTGTTTGTCCTTTTTGGTCTAACAAGAGCAAAATTATTGCCATAGACAAAAGAGTGGATGAAGGGGCTGTATGTAGACAATACTAATCAGTGAATAAAGTCAATCCAAGGAGTAGAGCAGAATGAGAGAGTTTGGAATTGGGGAAAACCAGCATCTTCTTGTCAAAACTTAAGGGTCAGCCCTTTTTTTCAGTCTTTAATGGTTTCTCTTTGTTCCTTTTTCTCAGGATTTCCTGTCTTCGCCTGGAAAGGAGAGTCAGAAGATGACTTTTGGTGGTGCATTGATAGATGTGTGAATGTAGAGGGCTGGCAGCCAAACATGGTGGGTTAGATTTCTGCTAGCATAATTCTGTCAAGGTCTTTGGGGACAGACGAGGGAAGGCCATGGCCTGGGAGAGGATTTCTCAACAGGAAGGAGAGAAATTGCCTCCCTTCCTTTCTGATGTAGCTGGGTTCCAGGAGAGCTAGATTCTTGTGCATAGGACACGCCAGGAAGAATGAACTTCCTTATAGCCTCAGAATGCTGTAATTGTTGGCGCCAATCTTAGAAGCTTCATATTCATCAGCAACATTAAAATTTTGCTTGGGGTTCACACATGGCTGGTTAAAAAGCAAGACTGATGAGTTACCGTACCCTACTACTGCCCACCCTCCCCATCCAACACACACATACACACATACACAACTCCTGTAGTGCTGAGCTTTCCCTCTAGAATTATATGCTAAGTTATAGTAAACCTGAAGAGATTTCAAGTTCAAATTTCTTTTTATTCATTCTCCATCTTAAGAAAGATGACTAGGCAAAAAGTTTTGAGTTTCTTATTTTTGCTTCATCTTTATTTTTGTTTCATATTTGAAGAGATTAAGTTCCTGAAGGCTGATAGCACATTAGGTTCACAAAGAGAAGCAAACAGCTGCAGAAAATATGAGGCACTCCTACTTTGCAAATATTTCTTTGCATATGAGGGAGGGGAGAAATTAGGGAATTAACTGCAAAAAAGAATAGGAGCTCTAGTCTTAACTATTGTTTGCTGCTAAAAATTGCAGAACAGGCTTCACCTGGCACACAGCAGAGAGAAGGAACCTCTATCTGGATTCTGTAATCCAAGTTAATTGCCCCAAGGGCTGGTTTGAGGAAGCTGGGTTAAAGCCTTCCTATCCTGAAAGAGAGGGAGGATTCTGCTGTAAGGTGAGCTGGCTAATTCTAAGAGAGTTGAACAGTGACAGAGGGAAGTATGACTGACAGGCCTAAAAAAGATACTCCAGGAGGTTTCTACTAGGAATAAGACATTAAGTTTATAATCAGGAACATGGGGAGGTCATGGGATTATACTCAGAGAACTTTTATAGACTATAGGACCAGCACAGACTACTAAAAAAGTTAAAGAGAGTAAGACAAGGATAAAAATAGTTGTCCCCCCAGAAAACAGAACCCACACCTCTTTGGATATTATCAAGATGTAGTACTTTTACTTGCTTTCCAATCTCGGGAAGATTCCTTGGTGGCAAGAATTTTCTGCAGTGGAATTACATGGTGAGACTTATGGGCTACATCCATTAAATAAATATTAGGGTTAGCAACTACCTGCCTGTATTAGATAACCTTTGTTAAAAGGGAAAAGTGGGCAAGAACAGTGGGACTTAAGACACAGAGTTTACAATTGCTCAATCTTTTTTGTCTCTGATCTTTTGTGTGGCTAGGGATCAGAGGCTGCATGAGAAAACTTCATGAGGGATTCCATACACGCAGAAAGGGATAAACTCAGAGAAGCCTTTCTGTTTCTCAGGGCATCTGTTCTGAGGGTTTCTACTGGGAGAAAACAGAGCACTAACCTGTCATGTGGAGTGAGTGTGAGTTTTAATGAGAGTCCTGCCTTGGATTCCTGTTCTCACATAAGGTTTAGTTGAGTCAGAGAATAAATCAACAACAAGAGCAGAAGCAAAAAAAAAAAAAGAGATCAGGTGGTAGACATGCGGTTGGGGATTTTGTGTAATAGTGTCCTGGATGGCATTGTGAGCACTTGTGGTTGAGTTGATAATTAATGGGACTGCAAAATGGGTGCATGCCAATAGAGGGCAACTCAGTTCTGTGGGGACTTTCCAGGAGGATGAGTATAACAATTTGGAAAGTTCTGCTAAGCATTGCCAACAGCTAGATGAAAGGCTGAGTGCCATAGCCTAGTGCCTGAGAGTATTCTAACCTGGTCTTCCTTTAGCTTATTTATAATTCAAAAGTTTCCCTCTGCTGATGAAAGCTCCAGTGGGCACAGCGCTGTGTTTATCTTTCATCCCAACCTGAAATAGTGATGAGCTGTTCAGAAGCATGCTTGCACACCTACATGCTGCACAGTTTCCCAGTTATTTTTAATTTGGTTTATAGAGAGTGTGAGCTTGTGCTAGGCAAAACCCTCCAGTGCTGCCTTATTTTTGGGTAGGAAAGTGCCTGTACTTTGGGAGAAGTAAAGGGCTAATGAATACAGTTTTTATAAGCCATTGTTCTGGGAAGGAGACCAATTATCTGGCTTTATTTAAACTAAACTTTAGCTGAATATATTCAAAGTCCTGAATTTAACCAATAGAATTATGCTAATATAAAGGTTAGGCTTTCTAAATAGCTACAGTACATTCAAGAACTAGTGGTCTAAATAACCACTTAAGCTATTAGTCCATAAGAAAATCTTTATTGTATTGCTGTATATTTTCATGTAGTAGGTAGGTCATATGGGAAGATGTCTGGTTATGAGATTTACAGTGGGCCTTTACCCCTCATTGTCTTTTACTTCTGTATAATGACTGGTCATCATACTGGTTTAAGTTACTTTGAATAGATAGCCTTATGGGAAATTTGAAATATCTGAAAATTGGCAATTAGAAATTGGGATACAGACCCGACAAGACACTGGAACTCTTGAGCCTTCAGCAAAATAAATGACATCACTGATGCTTATTATTGCAGATCTTGGATGATGGAGGGGATCTCACTCACTGGATTTATAAGAAGTATCCTAACATGTTTAAGAAAATCAAGGGCATAGTAGAGGAGAGTGTTACTGGAGTTCATAGGTAAGATTTGACAAAGGCATACCTGGTTTTATGCAGCTTGAATATATATTCTTCATATATTTAAAGATAGATATGCAGACCTATAGAATGTTATGTTAAAAATTGTAACCTGCTGTGAGGTGGTGAGATCTGAGTGTTCACACTTGATTTTTAAATTAATGACAAAATAACAAAATAGGGCCATACCAGTAGAGAAACAAGTGTGGTCCTAGTGTTTCCTAGTTGTTGTAATACAATGACCACTTACTCTTTTTGGACAAATACATTTATTCAGTTATTTATTGAACTTCTGTAGTGAACCAGGAACTCTCTAGGAACTGTGCTAGGGATCTAGTAGTAAGCAGAACAACCACTTGGGCCCTCACTGAACTTCATTCTTATGGAGAGAACAAGGATTTAGGGTTCTGTTTCTCAAATGAGCAATAATTCCCTGAGTAAAATTAAAATCATTTCAATTTCCTATTATACATCCATAAGGAATTGAAAGTATGAAGTAAAAGTTTTAGGGAATTAAGTTATGAATAAGCCACCATCACTGCTTCAGTATGTTGTGACTTTTTTGACCATATAAAACTATGGTTGTATAATACCTGCAGACTCTTTGGAGGAAGAGATTAATTTTGAATAAAACACCTGGTTCTGATTTTTTGTTGACTCAATTTAAAATAAAACTCCTACATAAAGATATACATATTTATAGTATGTGTACTGATATTACAAAATTTATTAGACTATTTGAAAGTTAAAATTGTTGCATCATAATTGTGGGATTAACATAGTACTTCAAGTTACTCTTTATAATTAAGAGGAATAAAATTAATAAGCAATTAAGATTTTTATATTGTAATCTTCAACGTTTAGAGGTTGGTCAAGGATTTTACCCACATGCTTTTTGACTAGGATTTTTATTTCTCAGCTGTATATAGGCTCTAGAAAGCTATTCTTTATTTCTCTATATACATCTAATAGGATGAAACTAGTTGTGTCTCATGTTCTCATGCCTACCCAATCAACATATTTCTGGAATTTGATATGAAACTGAAAGTAGATTGCAATATATCATTGTTTTATGTTCTTGATTGCCCTCACCCTTAGGCTTTACCAGCTATCCAAAGCTGGGAAGCTGTGTGTTCCAGCCATGAATGTCAATGACTCAGTCACCAAACAGAAATTTGACAACCTCTACTGTTGCCGTGAATCAATTCTTGATGGGTAATGTTTTATTATCTTTGGGATGAACCTGAGTTTTTGAACTGAGATTGTCAGTTTTTGGTTTTGGCTATTTCTGGAAATAATTCATGTAGCACCTCTTGCTCTATTACCACATCACACTCAATATTTAATAACCCAGAGCTACCATTGCTGTTCACTATTACAAGCAAGCCTATTTTACTTAAAAAATCAAACTAGCCCCTGTCTATTGGTGGCAGAGTTTTTACTCTGTGGCCCTATCAGGCCTGTGAGTCAGCAACTAAAGTCGTGATGAACAAGTGAGTATCTTTGATAGTTTGGGAAAAGGTTCCTGGTATTTCTATCCTAGGTCATATTGCCATGTCTTAAGTTCCAACTGTCATACGATTCTTGGACAATCTGGAAAGTTGTGGTGAAAATGGAGGCAGTTCTGATTTTTCAAATCTGTAAGGACTGAAAGTCTGCAAGATCTACTTAGATATATACCAAATACTGTACTTTTCAGTACCCAGTTTCTGTTTCTACACTTGTGTCCCAACATTCCTTTATTCTTGCTAGGAAGACTTAGTAATTCCCTGTGTGAAATCAGTATGTTGGTTTAGAATATTGCCATGCCAAATGGTTTCCATCATGGATAGGTTAATGGAAAAGGAAAGCAAGGGAATTTGGAACACATTGCTAACCAGTCTGTACCCCAAGAGGTTTAGGACGTCACAGGCATTGAAGCCGGAGGATCTTGGTTTGACTGTTGGCTCTATCATTTATTAACTATTTGGCCTCAGATTAGATATTTAATTCTCTGTGCCTGTTTCTTCATCCATAAAATGGTGACAGTAAGACCCCCCTCAAAGAGTTATTGTGAAGATTAAATGAACACAATCCTGGTGTTCAATGCTAGTTCCCTTACCTTTCTTTCTAAACTCTGTAGAGTAAGTTTTAGGATTGAGTTAGATCTTAGGGGGAGCTTTTCTGCCATGAAATCTGTCTTTTAAGTGTTGGGGGAATGTTCAATGAAATTCTGATCTATTGTTAATTTTTACTCCTATAGAATTAATAGTATTATCAAATAAACTGGAGATTTGAGTGAATTCTTAATCTATCAGTCTGACATTTTTTTTGTTGGGGGGGAGAGGTGTTGGTTTATTATATTTTTAAATTGTAATTGACATAAATATTATATTAGTTTCATCTATCAGTCTGTTTATAGACTTCCCTAGTTCTGTCCACATACACGTTATTGTGATGAATAGCCTAAGAAAATCAATTAGTGTGAGTATATACTCATTAAAATATTTATTCACCCACAACTAAACATCTTGTAGATTTTTCAAGTTCCACATCTGTAAGCCTAATATCTGCATATACTAGGTTTAGTAAAAGATGTATAAGGCTACATATACTTGTTCATAAAAATGGATATGGTCCCTTCTAAGCAGTGTTTATCCTGTGGGTAAGAAAGATTATTTAACATCAGAAATGTATGAAAGTGAGAGTTAGATGGAAGCCATGGAACAGGAGTTAAAGTTGATGAAGAAATAAGAAAACATCAACTATCCACCAGAAACCTGCTAAGTAGTTAGAGCTCATTGGCACCTTTAGATGGTGAAACACTTCCCAGCTAGGTCATGGGCAATTGTTCCTGTCAGAAAGTTGAAAGCAGGAGAAATTAAAGAGGCAAAATATGCTCCAGGGATGGCTGCAATGAAAAGGAGAGAACATTCAGGCCAACAGAGAGTCCATATGAGGAAGGGATTAGTGACTGAGCTTTCACAGTCCTCTCCTGGTTACAGACTGCACCACAAGCTCTGAGGGAATGGTCTGGCTCACTCCTAGACACTTCTGTAATTGGTCTGCAATGCCAAAGAGCAGTGCAAGTGTAGCCTTCTGGAAACCAAGGTTCCACTTGGTAGGAAGAATAGGATATCCCAGATATGATCTTCAGATCATAGACTAGTTCCTGGGGGTCTAAAATTTTTTCTAGAAAAATCTAGAAAAAGTGAGAGACTTGACATGTATTTTATTTACCACCAGACAGCTTACCCCCAGCCCTTCAAAAGTTCTTCCTTGATTGAGGTCTTGTCCATCCTTTATCCTCGATCCTTAAGACAGATCTGGGTCCCCAAGATCACAGGGAAATTACTGCCTAACTGGAATCCATCCAGGTCTGTCAGCCTATCATTGCAGAGCAGTGGTATTGATGATGTTTCCTTACTACCACATAGTTATTTGTCATCACAAAGAGTCATCTTCCTCTGGTAAGAGAAGCAGAAAGGCTTGAGGGTAGTCCAAGCAGAGGCTCGAAAATATGATCTTTTGATATTCCTGGCAGTGCTAGCCATTCCGAGACTGTTTTCGTAAGCCACAACTTTTGCATGGTAGTAGCCTAGCCAGACTTAATCTCTTCACTCAAGAACTGCCCGTGTATTTAATTAATATTTACTGAGTTTCACTGAGGTTCATGCAGTTAAACTAGTCCCTATTGAGTAGTTGTCAAATCATTAAAAAGACAGGATTCCTACTTTGCTTTTGGGGGCCATTCATAGACTTTTTTCAACAGGAGAGGAAAACAGGGAAGTGAGTCAAAAGACATAAATATTTGTAGAAATATTTGTCTCTAGAGGGAGTCTAGTAACCATAATGTTTTTCATGTAATTGTACATTAATGATAGCAAAATTAAAAAAAAAGAAATCATTTGTCTCAGAATGGGCTGGTTTTAGCTGAACACTTTCTTCAGCCTATTCCTAGAGAAGGGAGACTGAGAGAATCTAAAGAGAAAACAGAAACTGATCCTACAAGTTCTTCCAAGAGACCCTGAAAACAACAAGGACCTTTATTCTGGCTTCATAGACAATCAGAGACAGAGAAGTAGAACATGTCTGAGAAGGAATCAGCCCCATAAAACTATCTCATGTAGTCAGTGCTGGTGTGTTTCAACAAGGTGCAGACCTTGTTGCCCATTACTCTCCCTATTAAATTAATGTGGGACCTATTGGCCATTCTGATACTGCTAAATGTGGTATTCATTTATCAGTGTTAAATTTTACATTTCTGTCTAAGTAGGTAAACTACAATAATGTTTCCATTAAGCCAGAGCTTTATAATCTCCTAAATAAAAATGATAGTATTTTAATTTTCTTCTTTGTATCTTTTGTTTCTAAATAGTATATTTCCCAAATGTCATATGGTAAATATTTATTACTTTTTGTTTAAAGTTACTTTGTAGTCTATAGCTTTTTCCCTTCTGTATCACTCCCAAGACAAGGAGGAAGAAAAAAAAACACATCACATGTAGATGGAATTGATTAGATAGCATAAAGTGAAAAAATACGTATCTTATTTAATCTTTCTCTCTGGTCATTAAAAAAGTTTCCCTAGAATAGAAACCAGGCTTTCCTTCAAAATAGAAAAAACAAACATGAAAACAAAGAGACTCAGTATAATCTGAAGAGAGAAACAAGAGATTTTTCTGATTTAATGTTTTCCCCCACCACAGGCTTAAAAGAACAACAGACATGATGTTTGGTGGAAAGCAGGTGGTAGTCTGTGGCTATGGAGAGGTAAAGTTTAACCTTTTATTTATTAGGTGTTTAAAATGTTATTTTGCTGAAATATACTGGAATTTTTCATTTGTATGGACATAAGAATGCATTCATCTACTACTGTTGATGGGAAAAAAGGTAACTTTAGAGGCCCTTTGGTAAAAGCACAATCTTTCTTTTCCCTTTGCATTTTTGCTGTTTTTTTAAGTTGATTTTCTGACTTTTTCCAGTGTACTACTTGTGATGTTCTTCTAGCTTATGTTTTGATTATAAATCGTGAGTGTGGGTGTTCTTATGCACATGCATGTGCTAAGCAGTGGCTAGGAGTTTGTTTATGAACTTTTGTTTATGCTTTTCTTATTTTTCCCCAAGCATGAATCTATTCATTGCAATCCCTTTTGGAGGCAGAAAGGGGGGTACAGTTTCCCAGAAGCTTTGAGAAACTATTTTCTCACTGACTTTCTTTATGTGTACTTTCTCCCCTCTTCAGGTGGGAAAGGGGTGCTGTGCTGCTTTAAAAGCCATGGGCTCCATTGTGTATGTAACTGAGATTGACCCCATCTGTGCTCTTCAAGCTTGGTAAGCATGCAAAAGGAAACTTGGTTTTTCCTGTACACCACCCTTTTGTCTTAGAAGGGCCCAGATCCTGAGAGAAGCTGCCATTAACTGAAAGCTCCTATTTTTCAAAGATCAAGAAGTTGTGCTCTCAGAGAACAGAGACTATCAGAGAAGCTAAAATTTAAAATTCCTGTGGAAGTAGTAACAGGGGATGACTTGAACCAAGAACAAGTAGCTCCTTACCTTCTCCCCGTATAATCTGCCTTTGAAAACAATGATCAAAAAAGAAATAGGCTGGTATCAGATCCTTTCCAATGTGATGCACTGGAAAGAGCACTTCTGTGATATTCCTCCCCTGAAACTGTGTAACCTAAATCTGATCAGGAGGAAACATCAGGTAATCTAAATTAAGGGTAAAATCTGCTATCTCTGAGTGAAGGGTATATGGGAGTTGTCTGTACTATTCTTATAGTTCCAAGTTTGAAATGATTTCAAAATTAAATGTTAAAAAAAGAATAGTTCCTTTCTTATCTGTAAAATGTGGGTAATCATGTCTACCTCAAACAGTTGTGAAAGTTCAGTAAAATAATTATATAATTATTATATAATGATTATATGTTATGTAATACATATATAATTATATAAAGTGCAGAGCTGCTATCAGATCATAAATGCTCAATAAATGGCAGCTATTATTAACACTGCCTCTTGCCATCACCAGCAGGATAGAAATAACTCCCAGAAAATTTGTGCACAGTCCCAGTGTCTACAGCCTGGGTAAACCACCCAGTCTTTACCATTAACCCACCAGAGGAAGGTACCCAGGATAGAATGAGGCATAGCATGAAGATTTTACTATAACTATTTTCCCCTGTCCTACCACTCCTCATAAATCCTCGCCATAAACCCACAGGCTTTCCCAACAGAGCTGTTGACTTCTCTGAGTCAGGGCTCCAGCACACAAGAGGAATTATCACCATTCTAATACTTTCAAGGTTCACTGGAGAAACCTGAACATGATTTAATACTGAGATACTGATTCAAATTATCTCAGAGACATGAGCTGATTATTTACTATATAAAGTTGACCCTTGAACAACATGGGTTTAAATGTACAAATCCACTTAACTGCAGATTTTTTTCAATAAATATATATTGGAAAATTTTGGGAGATATGTGATAATTTGAAAAAAATACTTTGTCTAAACTTTGTTGCAAGAATACAGTCTACTATATATATATATATATGGGTTACAATACATACAAAATATGAGTTATTCGACTATTTATATTATCAGTAAGTCTCCGGTCAACACTAGGCTATCGGTAGTTAAATTTTGGGGGAGACAAAAGTTACATTCCTATCTTTAACTGTATAGGGGTTGGTACCCCTAAACCTTGAGTTATCCAGGTATCAGCTGTTTCAGGTATTGTGCTCCATGCTGAGGATGAATTAGGTGAATAGATGAATGAGGCAAGGTCCCTGCTTTTAGAAACCCACAAATAACCACCGTGAGTATAATAACTGCTGTGATGGAGGTCAACCACACATGCTTCTGTAGGAACACAAAGGAAAAATAATCTAACTAAAGAGCATGGGGACAGGGTAGAAAGAGTGTCAGTAGAGCTGAGTCTTGGAACTTGTGTAAGTAATTTTTTAGTTTGGAAGTAAATTCTAGGTAAAGGGAATGTGTACATAGTCACTGAGAAAGGGAGAAAGCACAATATACCTAAGAAAAATGAAAGTATTTCAGTGTAGCTGGCAGATAGAACACATTTGGGGGAGTGGTAATATCTGAGGTAGGCATCTTATGTCAATATAATCATAGATCAGTGTTAAGTATTTGGTCTTATCCTGAGAACAGGAAATTTCAGTGAAGTATTTTAAGCAAGGAAGTGACATGATCTGGATTGCATTTAAGGAAATCACTCTGTAAAATAAATTAGATGTAAACTTAGAGACAATAAGTAATCTAGGCAAGAAATAATGAGACCTGAACATAAGGAAGGCAAGCATTTATGAAGAGAAAGGGACAGATCAAGAGATTTTAAGGAATTAAAGAAAAAGAATCAATCAGATTTGGTGACAACTTTAGTCAGGGAGAGGCAGGCCGTAAGCTGGGACATTCTAGTTTACTTGGTTCATACAGTTGAATTAAAGTAATGCTATTGAATCAAGAGAGAAAATGTAGAAGAGGAAATAGGTAGGGTTGGGAGGCATGCAGAGAAGATGAGTTTATTTTCAACCCCAGTAAGTTTGAGGTCCCTATGGGACATCCAAAAGAAACTATCCAGTGGACAATTTGATCCATGACTCTGCAGCTTGAGAAAAATTTAAGCTAAAGAAATAGATGTGCATATCATCCACCAAGAGGAGTAATTTGCAGCTAAGGAAAGGATATGGATAAGTATTGAAAGCATAGAGAAAAGAGTCAAGGATGGAACCCTATAGATTGACTAAGATCAAGAAGGAGTACCCAGGAAAGTAGGTTGACTAAGATCAAGAAGGAGCAATCAGAAAAGTAGGAGGAAAACCAGGAGAGAATTGTATCATGGACTCCAAGGAGTACAGAGCTTTAAGAAGGAGATAGTGTTTAATATAGCAGAGGAAACCAAGTAATATAAGAGTCTGAGAAATTTGGGTAGGGGTATGCAGCAGATCATTGATGATCTTGAAGAGAACAGTTTCAGTGGGGTAGTAGGTTCAGTGGCTAAATGGCGCTTTCTAGAAACTTGATTAGGGAATCTCATGGTAACACCTGGCTCTCTATAACCAGGATGAATTAAGTTGCAGTGATGCAAAGGAACCTTTTACTGCTGTCCTGTATGAACTAAGGAAATGGTTTGAATTTTTCACTGTTAAGGATAATCCAGCTATATCGAGAAGTGACAATGTGGGTACTCAGGGAACTTGATAATAGCTTTTGAGGTTCTAAGGCAAAAGGCTTCCCAGCTGCCTATTTAGGTTAATTGATTATGCTTTATTTCTATAGTATGGATGGATTTCGACTGGTGAAATTAAATGAGGTCATCCGACAAGTGGATATTGTTATTACCTGTACAGGTATGATTATGACATACATAAAATGGGTGGTACTCAAGAACCATAGAACAAGTAAAAAATAACTGGAAATGTTCTAAACAAAACCAAATTCCGAAAGCACGTAGCAGTCCATAAAACTAGTCAATCTTTCACATTCTTCTTAGTGCTTTAACACTCTGACCAGAAGTATGCCATTAGGTCATCCTTACAAGAAAGTTTCTCTCCATCCTTATTCTATATCTCCATCTATCCATCCTCAAGTACTAAAGGAGTGGCTAAAGATGAGTTTTATATGGAAAGCCAGATCTAACATTTTACATTTGTTTTTTTATTTTATCTCCAAAATTGATATATATTCTCTCTAGTCCCTATAATTATTAAAGTAAATCTAGAGCAAATTCTTGATAGTTAGAGAAGTGGAAAAGGTAGGTAGTTGTGTTAATTCCCGAAGAGGTAGATTTTAAATTTTATAGAGGAAAATGCAGAAATGACTAGTTTCCTTGGACTGAGATACTTATTTTAACTTTATGTAGGACCATAAACCATTAGAACACTGTTTTTTAAAATAATAACAGAGGAGGAAAATCAGAATATTTAAGAATAAAAATATATTTGTAGCCTCAGGGAGAGCTGGGGGCAGACAAGAGGGACTACAAGGAACTGTTTACTTCACATCAATCTCCTCAATCTCTTTTTTTAAATAGCTTTCTTGAAATGTAATTCACATACTGTAATTCACATTTCACCCTTTTTAACTGTACAATTCAATATTCTCTAGCAAATTCCCAGGATCATACAACCATCAGTACAATTTAATTTTTTTAGTAAGATGCAGTTCATATACCATAAAATTCACCCTTTTAAAGTATGCAGTTCAGTGGGGTTTTTTATTGTAAAGATGTGCAATATCCCATTATCTGCTTCCAGAAAACTTTCATCACTCCAAAAAGAAACCCTATACCATTAGCAATCACTTCTCATTCTACCCTCTTTCCCCAGCCCTAGGCAGCCACTAATTTCTATTTCTAAAAATTTGCCTATTCTAGACATTTCATATAAATTCATCCATATTGCAGCATGTGTCAATATATCATTCCATTTTATTGCTGAATTGTATTCCATTTTAAGGATATACCACATTTTATATATCTATTCATAAGAGGTTGTTTTCACTCTCAGGCTATAATGAATAATGTTGCTGTGAACATCATGTACAATGTTTTTCCATGAACATGTTTTCAGTAGGCTTGGATAAATACCTACCTATATATACCTTGAAGCTGCTGGATCATATAGTAACCCTACTTTTAACATTTTGAGGATTTGCCAGACTTTACCCAAGAGACTGCACCATTTCACAACCCCACCTACAGTTCACAAGGGTTACAATTTCTCACAAGGGTTACGATGTCTTTTTGATTATGGCCATCCTAGTAGGTATGAAGTGGTATCTCATTGTGGTTTTAGTTTGCATTTCCCTAATGAGTAATAATGTTGAACATCGTTTCATATGCATGTTGGCACATCTTCTTTTGAGAAATGTCTGTTAAGATCTTTTTTTAAAATTGGGTTGTCTTTTTATTATTGAGTTGTAAGAGTTCTCTGTAAATTTTGGATACAAGTCCCTTATCACTTATATTAGTGGCAAATATTTTGTCCCATTCTGTGGCTTGTCTTTTCCTTTCTTGGTAGTATCATTTACAATGCAAGAGTTTATATTTTTCTTTGGTTGCTTGTGCTTTAAATGTTGTGTGTAAGAAACGATTGCCTAACCCAAAGTCACAAAGATTTACTCCTATGTTCTGCTATGGATTTTATAATTTAAACCCTTACATTTAGGTCTCTGATCCATTTCTAGTTAAATTTTACTCACAGTGTGAGTTAGGTGTTCAACTCCATTCCTTTTCATGTGGATATCTCTTTCTGTTTTTAAGGTAACAAGAACGTGGTAACCAGAGAGCACTTGGACCGAATGAAGAATAGCTGCATTGTCTGTAACATGGGACATTCCAACACGGAGATTGATGTGGTAAGATCAGGTGACTCGTTTTGGGGGGCTTTTCTCTCTCTCCTTTGCAAGAAACAAACTGGAAAAGAAAAGATCAGGGTCACCAACCAACCCAAATATGACTATCCTGACAAAGCTGTCCACAGTCTGCTCACTTAGTAGCCCTATGGCTTGTGTTTGTGGATACTATAAAGCTTTTTGTCTCAACTTAGTCATTTCAAGTGGTTTTTTTCTTCACTGGACCTTGATACCTACTTACACTGTAAGCTATTTTATATTTAAGATTGGGAGCTGGGTAAACAAAAAGGATACAGTAAATATGAGTCAGTGTGGTAGTCAGTATTTTGGGGGTGTTTGATTTTACCATAGGAAAAGGTGAGATAAGTAGGTTAGTCCAAAAAAACAAGCCAAGGGAGAGAAATCTATTGGCTGGGATGAGAATATGCTTAAGACTGACCATGTCTGTGAGGTACTGCAGTTTCTCTTTTCTCCTCCTCTTTCATTGGGCTAGGTCTCCCTTCAACATTAGTAATTGGGTCTATAGGTGTCACAATCAGTTCAGTAGCATGTATTCCTTGTGTTCCTCAAATCTGGAAAATCTGTCACTTTGGTTCTCTAATTTTATTATATTCACCCTAAAATTTTCCAATTCAGCATAACATGGCCCTACTAAGTTACCCAAGTAATAGTTAATATAAGTGTTACTTATTTCTTTTCAGACTTACCAAAGTATCTCTCAGTGTGACTTTCACTCTGGTTTTAAATTTTTCTGGCATTTTTCTGGCACAACTGTATTTCTCTCTGGGTAAATGGCTCAAGCAAAGCATGCTTTCATCTCCCCTGAGGGCTGCTCTGATTGAGTTTCAGCATTGCCAGGTAAGGATCAGTTGATATATTGAGAGCCTGTTGGATAATATCTATTTTAAATGATTTTTCTTTTTAACTCTGTGCTGTATTCTTATGTTATTAAAAAGAGCTACAAAAACAACCTACCAAAGCCTACTTCTATGCTTTAGGTTTCTGAATGAATGGCATGACTCCATTACTGTCTTACCATGGTGTTTTGCTTATAATGATTACTTTAGTTAGTTCTTTGTTGTTGTTCTTGTTAGCTTCACTTTATATGCCATACTGCCCCTTTACCAGGTGGTTAAAGATACTGCTGTTTCTAAAACTGTCTATAGCACATGATTGTCCTTTTATGGATTAATCTGCTCTTAGAGCCCCCGAATGGGAAAAGCTTAAAGGAAGTAGTCAATCTCTAAGCCATAAAGAGAAATCTTTCAAGGGAAGGGGGAAGGAATTTTTCCTTCTAAACTCTCAAGAAGCTCTGATAAAAACCATTCCAAATGTAATCATATGATTTTTATATTTTTGCTTTATCTCATTTCATCCTGTTGCCCACCCCACAAGGCATTATTCCAGATTGGGATAAGAAGCTGGGAAACAAAGTTTTGTTCTATTGGGAAACAAAGAAGTTAAGTACATTGTTCAGTCATATACACTGATTTAAAAATGAAATTGTAGCACAGAATCCAGGGTTTTTTATTTCTAGTTCAGTTTTGTTTTGTTTCCTGTATATTATACTATTACATCCTCATGAGTTCTATATTAACTTCAAATTGTGATGGTAATTTTTCCTCCAAAGGCATCCCAGGCCTAAGTATAATATAGGCCAGGAGACAGACCCTTTACCTTCAATCACAAATATTGTTGTGTGATTGCTATATGCCAGATGATTGTAGTCAATGAACAAAATAGGCAAATATTGCTGCTCTCATGGAGCTTACATTTTGGAGGAGAAAAAAGACAATAAACGTAAGTGAAACTTATAGTTAGAAAGCAAAAGCACCATGGAAGAAAAAAAAAGTAAAGCATGTGAAGGGAATCATGATGGCTGGGTTGTAATTTTAAATAGAGGGATCAAGGTATAACCCTCAATAAGAAGGTGATGTTTGAGCAGACTTGAAGGAATTAGCCATGTGGATTTTTAGTGGAAGAGCATCTCAGGAAGAGAGAACAGCCAGAGAATGGGCCAGGAGTGTGCGTAGTCTTTTTTTTTTTTTTAAAGCTATTATTGATACACACTCTTATGAAGGTTTCACATGAAAAAACAATGTGGTTACTACATTTTCCCATATTATCAAGTCCCCACCCATACCCCAATGCACTCACTGTCCATCAGTGTAGTAAGATGCCACAGATGCACTATTTGCCTTCTCTGTGCTACACTGTTCTCCCCGTGATCCCCAGCACCATGTGTACTAAACATAATACCCCTCTATCCCCTTCTCCCTCCCCACCCGCCCTCCCATACCCCTCCCCTTTGGTAACCACTAGTCCCTTGGAGTCCCTGAATCTGCTGCTATTTTGTTCCTTCAGTTTTGCTCATTGTTATACTCCACAAATGAGGGAAATCATTTGGCACTTGTCTTTCTTCACCTGGCTTATTTTGCTGAGCATAATGCCCTCCAGCTCCATCCATGTTGTTGCAAATGGTAGGATTTGTTTCTTTCTTATGGCTGAATAGTATTCCATTGTGCATATGTACCGTGTGCATAGTCTTTTTGAGGATCAACAATGAGGCCAGTATGGTTGAAGCAGAATGAGCATGGGGCAGGGAAAAATGGAAGATGAGGTCGTAAAGGAATGGACCAGATCTTATGGGGCCTCATAGGCCAGTATAGAATTCCTGACTACAATCTGAGAGAAATAGGGAGCCATTGTAAGATTTATAACAATTTGACTTCTGTTTTAAAGTATGACTGTTATTTTGAAAGGATCACACTGGCTGCTGTGACACTAGATCTAGTTTTACAGATATCACTAGGTAGTCCCCAGTGTCTGCCACTGCCATTAACCAAGACCCATCTCTCAATTCTTCTTGTACTCTCCTTAGCAGAAGGTATATGACAAAACTAAATGGTCCAGAAAGGGAAATGCTCAAAGGGCTTTGGAAAAGTTAAATTACTCAGCTTTTGATGGTAGTGTCACAGGGCATATAAAATGAAATTTAAGGAAATAGACAGTTCAATTGATTATTTAATTAAATAATTAAAACCAGAGTGTTCACTTACTATTTAGTAAATTTATATTGAATACTTACTCTGCTCTGAGCCAAGTGTTTACTGACTGAAGACATAACTGAACAACAGGCCTTCTCTTCTTGGAGCTTATATTCTAGTGTGGGACACAGACAATAAACAGTGTCAGTTAGTACCTAGTATTGGAAAACAGCAAGGGGAAGACATTGAGGATGCTGTTTTAGTTATGATTAAGATAATACTTGAACAAAAACCTGGAGGGATTGAAGCAGAAAGCCATCTGAGCCTTCTACTCAGAACAATGGGTAAAGACCCTAAGGTAAACATACTTGCTGTGCTTGAGGAACAGAGAAGAGGCCATGTGGCAGGAACAGAATGGACAAGGAGATAAGAGGCAGCTCAAGGCAGAGCTTGGAACTCTGTAGAGTTTTGTAGGCCATGATAAGGGCTTTAGTTTTATTCTGGATACAAAGGAAGTCATTGGAAGGTTTTGAGCAGATAACTGATAAAATCTGACTTATGTTTTAAAAGATTGCTCTGGCTACTATATAAAGAAACACTTCTGGACCTTGTATAGTGATTTGGACAAGAGATGCCCTTTCAGTATTTCCAGATATAGAAGGTGGTAGCTTGGATTATATAAGTAAGCAGTGGAGGTGTTAAGTGATACATTGTGAAGGTAGGACAAAAGGGGTTTACTAAATGGATTGTATACAGTGTGAAAAAAAGGATAATTGCTGTGAGTCAACTGATTGAAACTGCAAAGGAAAATGGTTTGATAAGTTTTTATCCAGATATTTTTAGTAATCAAAAATTTTTGGGTTTTTTTGAGGGAGGAGGGGTGAAATTTATAGTTTTACCTAACCTTGAGATGTTGACTGCTACATTTTTAGGAAGGAATAGCTCATCAAGAGAGTTGGTCATTTAGAAAGTTGCATTGTTTTCTGAGAAACATTAATGCTGTGAATTCCTGGGGAACCTGAATAAGGATTGCACTTTTGGCTTTCTTTTTGGCCATGTGTTCCTTTCACATAGTTCCTTTCTCTTGAAAACAGACCTGCTTAGCCATATGCATCACACAGGTGACCTGTGTGATTGATTATAAGCTTCACTATTCAAGTGGTCAAACCATTAGGTAGATATTCTTTAAAGATTTTTGCCAGGCAATGAATTACAACCCAAGACTTGCTATTTACTCCATGCTCTGCAGGACTAAAACTCTATTTGTTACCCCTAAAAAAAAAATTGATGTGCACTGTTCAGAATCATAAAATATGAATTTGTGCAAGCATAATAACTAGCTAATTTACAGTGTGATGTACATCCATTTGAAACAGGTAGTTTGCATAGGGAACCTTTTTCTTGGTAGATTGCTTAGTGATTATAAGTCCACTGAAAAGACAATTGGATATCTTTAAGAGCAATTCTTATAAAACTGCGGGCCATAGGAAACCCCTCTCAAGGACTTAACTGACAAGTAGACTTTACTAAGTTATGGGAGCTGCCTGGACAGTGCTAGAGATAATTTAACCATGTTTCTCTTCAAACCCCATTTTTGACTGACCTTTCACGTCTTTTGCTTGCATCATAGCATTACAGTGCTTTAGTAAACTGCTGCTACTAAGCATTGATCGTTTTAGGATGTTCATAGAAAGAAGTGTCCTTTCCTTGACTCTGCCATATCATTTTTCCCAGGGAATACTTCTAAGACAGGAGACTCTTGTTATCATGGTGTCGGCTCTTTCCTCCCAATCACCAAGATTGCTTGTCCTCTGGAAGATTAAGAGTACAAGACACTAAGAACTTGAAATCCTTTAAAATTCCATCATCTCAAAAAAATAAAAAGCCACTGGCTTTGGAGATAGTTTCTAGTTCTTCCGCTCTCTAAATCACCCACTCGAAATATAAGACAACCATTGAATTCAGGAGAACCAAACTGAGAAGAAAGCACATAAGTCATCACAGCTTCCTAAATCACCATGGAGTGTCTCTTGGCTCTTCATGGATATTGTCCTCCATGGTGTTATTTCTAAAAGCTAAGGGATTTACTTTTCATACCATTAACTTCCCAAAATGCTATGTTTGCTCAAATTCTTTTTAACTCTATTTATAGTGTTTATTTATAAAATTCTTCTTAAAATTCTGATTTTAGAAAGGGGGCCTTACGATTAGCATGTATAATGTGGGGAGGGGCACAGGGAGGGCTGTGCAACAGAGAAGACAAGAAGTGATTTTACAGCATTTTACTATGCTGATGGACAGTGACTAATGGGGTATGGGGGGGACTTGGTGAAGGGGGGAGTCTAGTAAACATAATGTTCTTCATGTAGTTGTAGATTGATACCAAAATAAAATAATAAATTCTGATTTTAAAGTAATATTGCTTAGTTTAAAAATTCAAGCACTATAAATATAAAGAAGTAAAAAACTTTAAAAATTGAGGTTATAGTATGTTTTATAACTTGATTTTTTCACTTAATTAACGGTTTTCATGTTAACACATATAGTTCTACTTTTTCTTTTAATAATTGCATAACATTCCATTGTATGGAATTATCCAGATTTACTTAGCCATTCCATTGTTGAATTACATTTTTTGCTCTTTCATATTTAACACCAGATTTAACATGCTCTGCCACTTATATTTCTGCACCTGAGCAAGTGTTAATAGAGGGTGGGGTCTTAAAAGTTGAAATTGATTTGTCAAAGATTAGGTACATATAAAATTCTATTAGCTGCTGCCAAATTGTCCTCTAGAAAGCTTGAACCAATTTATAAAGCTTGACATCTCAAGAAATTTGGTTTCCCATCTGCCTAATAAAAAAATGATACAGACCATTAATACAGTCCTGAATATGCTGAAATATAATTATATATATATATATCTTTTCCACTAGATTGGTAATGAAAAGAAGATACAGTACCTGTCCATAGATTGCTCCCAATCCACTAGAGGAGTCCACAGTCTTATCTTTAACAGTGTCCTTTACCACAATGTCTGGAATATAGTATGTGCTCAGCAACAATTAATGTATGTTTCTCTATTTGTTTGAAAAACTCCTATTTTGCAGAACTTCTCAATTTGATTGACTGATCCAATGAGTAGTTTTAGAATACAGATTTCCTTTCTATTTTAGTCATTGCCTATTGGAAGAAGGAAGTTGTCTTAAGTCTAAACTCTATGACTATCATTTGATTGCTGCTTTTAATACATTTAAAATTTCTTCTCGTTCTTGGAATATACAATATACAGAAAATAGAAAAAGGGTGAGCCATTGGAAGCTTTACTCTATCATTAAGCATTTCTCTAAAGGCTACTTCACATTTGCACTTAGCTCACAAAGCTTCTGTAACTTTAGAATGAACCACTGTAGTTGAGAAGGTGGACCCTGGGACCCTGGGACATGTGGACAGAACCTTGGGCCCCAGCATGCCATGTTTAGGATATTTGGCCTTCTCTGCCTACTCCCACTCAGCTGTGATCCTCCTTTTTCCTGTGCTCTTTAGCACTCATATATTCAGTTTGCTCTGTATTAATTTGCACTTGTTTGCACGTTCTTTTGTAAATATTTTAAAGTTTTTTTTCCCCTCACATATGTATTATTTTATGTCCTCGCCTAAAGTATGAGCTTTTCGAAGGCAGAAACCATGTCTTTGGTTTCTTTTGTATTTCCTGTAGCACCTTTTACTGTGCTCAGCAGTGTGGGCGTACAGTATATGTTGTGGAATGACGTCCCGAGTGATCCCCCCCTGGCTGGGCCTAAGATTAAATTCCCTGAAATGGAACAGTTCTAACCAACCCAGGAAAGGTATTCTTCATCTGGCATGTTGGTTGCTTCTTTCAACTTGCTGTTTGAAATGGCTCCCTTCAGCATCTTTCTGGCCACAAAGTGGGACTGGGCATGGCTGACACTGTGCTTGCTGTGTGTTCTAGGCAAGTCTACGGACTCCAGAACTGACCTGGGAGCGAGTGAGATCCCAAGTTGACCATGTAATATGGCCGGATGGCAAGAGGATAGTATTATTGGCAGAGGTAAGACCAGGGCTGGTAAGAGAGATTCGCCCAATAGGAGAGACTGAACTACCCCATCCCCTCCGCAACATGTTCTCTCATACTTTCAACTCCTCTTCAGCATGAGCTTAACTACTTTACTAATATATTCTACATTTCATTGTGAAAGGTCTTTTCATTCAGCAATTAAGAAACTATTTTGGTTCTCTGCTTTTTACCAATTATCCTGTCTCTGTATGTCACTCTACAGGTTGAGTCAGATAATGACTATTAGTGTGGAAGAACTAACAGATAGAACCAATGCCACTTTGAGTGATGCTTATAAAGAGACAATGTCATTTGTGGGATGGTTTAATCAGCATGCACAAAGTAGATATTCCTGACTGTAGCTAAGAGTATCTTAGGCAAGGTCTGGGAAGGACATGTCTTTGCTGGTAGATACTCTGTTTTTGAGTGACCACTCCCCTGAATTGAGCCAGACATATAGTAGGTACCCAGCTATATATTGGTTATATGATGGCTATTTCCTTCTCCTGGCTTCTTCTAGCTCAGACTTATTCTTGACTTTCATTCCACTTAGCCTTCCATGTCAGTGTTTGCCCACTTTTCCTTTCTTGAAACCTTCTCTTCCCTAGGCCTTACTTCCTGACTGCTACAACAATGTCCTGTTCTTACCTTGACACTTTATCTTCTTCAGGGAAAGATGCCAAAATAACAAGGAGGATAATAATACTTTCCTCAAGTTTTGATTGTCCATCAGTTTTCTTTCCTTTTTTTTAAATTACAGAAACTGAATATGAAAATATAAAAGATGTACCATCTTAATCTAGGGATTCTTAAGTTTATGCTTGGGTATTCTTACTGTTCTCTTCACCTTTCCTTACTTTGTCTCATCTTCTCAAGTACTTTAGGGCATCTGTAAAGAGACTGAATTATTTCTTCACAAGAAAGGAGTGTTTATAAGGAAGAGATGACAGGTTGTTAAATATTCATCAGTTGCTCTGATATCAGCCAGTTATCTGGTGACTTATTTGAAGTTGCCCTGGGAGGTCTAGTAATTCCGATGACAAAAGCAAGCACCACAGTTGTTTATGGCTACTATGTTTGAATTTAAAAAGTGGTCAAGCTTCCTAAGAAACAAAATAGGAAAGGATGGCTTTGGAGGTAGTTTCTAGTTCTTCTGCTCTCTAAATCACCCACTCGAAATATAAGACAACCATTGAATTCAGGAGAACCAAACTGAGAAGAAAGCACATAAGTCATCACAGCTTCCTAAATCCAGAAATATCTTACAACCTAGAATTTAACTAGGTCATTGATAGTTAGATCATCATTAACCAGATTATTAAATCCACTGCCCCTGGATTTAACTAGATCATTGTTAAGGACAGTTTTCAAAGGAATGCTGATACCTTAGAAGGAGGCTATTTTGCTGTAGAAAGTAGAATATACCCTTCCTTTGCATAAGCTTCAGTAACACTCTTCCTTTTTACATAATCCCAGAAATCTTGTATCTATTATCTTTATCAAATTTTCCAGAATTTTTTACAATTCCAGTTAAATGTCAGTCAATTCCTATTTATTGAACACCTGCATTTTGCCTAGTAATGTTAGTTGGAATTGTTTGGAAAATGGCAGTCATGCTCATCCCTAACTCCTCAAAGGCCAGAGACTTTGTCCTAACCCACTCGTGTCTTAACCCTTGCTCTCTAGGGCCGTCTGCTGAATCTAAGCTGCTCCACAGTGCCTACATTTGTGCTCTCAATCACTGCTACTACTCAGGTAAGGCGTACAGAGTGTAAAAGCAGTGGGCTGGAGAGGACCCATCAGGGCACTTGATACAGGCAGATGGCCATGAATGGCACACCAGCATCCATCTCTCTGCTTTTCTAGGCTCTTGCCTTGATAGAGCTTTACAATGCTCCTGAGGGTCGCTATAAGCAGGATGTCTACCTGCTGCCCAAGAAAATGGGTAAGCATGCACTCTTCCATCCCCATCCTTACCAAAGTAGTTCAAAGTAGGAGGTTAAATGAAGTTTGCAGCGTTATATATCTTATGGATAGAAAAAAAAAGATATCTTTGTGTCGTAAAGTAGGAGCTAGGACTCCAAGGTTCTATTTCAGGTAATTTATTACATTTTTCCACATGGGTTACCCTCCTGGAAACGTGATGTTTTGCTGTGATGTGGTTTACTTGCCTCGGAATTATAAGGCTTTTATCTATCTTATATGCAAGAATCTCAAAGGAGGGGAAAAAACCTTCCTGCAAGAGAGATGAATCATCTACCTGTGACATCTGACTTTTCTGGTTCTAGGCTGCTATAAAACCCCTACCAAACTTTCCTCAGACCAAGAAGACTTTTCATACTACATCTTCTGACTCTAATTCTATTGTTTCAGGTCAAAGAAAAGACTCTGAATAGCTTCTGTCAAGAGTTTAGTAATGTGGGTGTTTTATATAAGAGAAACATTAAACTGTCTTGAATTTTTAAAGAACCCGAATTAAGCACCTGAATGGAAACAGTGTGTTTATAAACTCCTGAGGCAAAGAGCAGGGAATAAATAAGCTTCTGGTTTTGTTTTGCTTAAGCACTAGATGCATAGCAACTGTTAGAAGTTGACATTTTTTTCCCTTCAGTATATCTTTTGGGGCACGAAAATTCTCAGTCATAATATAAGTTGATCATGGGGATAGTAGTTCCTCATAGAGAATACAGTCAGTGATTCTGTAACATCTTTCTATGTTGACAGACAGTAACCACACTAGAGGGGGTGAGGATTTAATAATATGGGTAATTGTTGAACCACTGTGTTGTATGTTTGAAGCCAATAAAAGACTGAATGTCAATGATACTTCAATAAAAAATTTAAAATTAAAAAAAATATATTTCTTATATATATTTTGGAAGGTTATAAAAGAAATAGAACAGTCCATATACTGATGAATATGTAATGGAGTTAGGGAGACCAAACGAATACATAGTAAATGACATAAAATTCTGAGTGATATGTATTCAGGTAAGAGAAGGTAAACAGAAACCCATAAGAAGCAAGGGTACTAAAAAAAAGACCACAGTATTATATCTTCTTAGTTATTCCTATCTGATTTTCTCAGGTGTTAGCTTTTCTGAGTAATAACCCAAAGTATAGAGTCTAAGGCAGAACTGCAGTTGGTGTTTCCCATCTAGTTGGTGCCCCCGTCCCATCCTCCTTTTAGACCCTAAAGCCTATTGCTTCTTTCATTTCTCCCTCATCTTTCAGGGGAGAAGGAGAGATTCAAGGCTGAAAAAGCTAGTAAGGAAGAAATGTTACAGCTTTGAAAAGCACTGGGCTTGCAGCTCAAGCAACCATTCCTTAAAATTCTGGGCGAGTGAGAAAAAGTCGAGCATTTTTCTTTCAGCTCCAGGAATTAGGAAGTATCTTCCAACTTTTAAGGCCTTGCTTGGAGAAAATAGCCAGACAAGAAGCATGAATGCTTATACCAGGGCTTCTGTGGTCTGTTCCAGATGAGTATGTGGCGAGCCTACATCTGCCTACCTTTGATGCCCACCTGACAGAGCTGACAGATGAACAAGCCAAGTATCTGGGACTCAACAAGAACGGACCCTTCAAGCCTAATTACTACAGGTGCCTTGGGTCCCCCTGAAAACAGAGAAGCCTGGGTAGTGAAGAGCTTCATGTACTGGAATTTGTATTCATCATCACATTTATATGAACCCAGAAAAATAAACCCACTCCCCCTCACTGTCACCCTTAAAGGACTCTGAGGCCTTCTTCAGACATAGTATTCCCTTTTCTGAATTTGCCTTTCTCCATTACATCTTCTTTATATGATTTTTACCTGTTTACGGAGAAATACTGGCCTTTTTCACTGATGTGAAAAAGCACCATAATTACCTTTCCAGTACACTCCAGTAAAGCTCCTGCCTTCCTGTTACACCTTTAGGAAGGCTCATCATGTCCCAGCATCCCCACAAGCTGATAACATCAGTCTCATCTTTCTTTTTCCCTCCAGGTATTAAGTTCCTGTAACTCAAGCCAGAAGAAGTTTTAAGGAATAGAATAAGTCTTTTCTCCATTCCTACACAGGAAAGAACCCAGCAAGCTGCTTCTCCAATCAGCTGCCTGCCGTGCTCACTCTATATATTAGGTTATTTATTTATTAAAATTTAGAATCCTGTGCCTGTTGCCTTGACCCAGAGTGTGGTTACTGCCCCACGGGCTGTGAGACCCACAAAGGGCAGGCTGAGGAAGGAAAGAAATGGGGTAGCTGTTCCCAGTGCATCATCTGTGTCACTCCCCATTGACTATGGATCCTCAGCAATGGTCATTTTCCTCTTGGCCAGGGTCAGGAGTGAGTCCAGGGATTCCACACTCCTTATTCCCTGGGGTTTTCTGGAATAAGCATTCAGCAGCTGCCTTTCTCAGCTTTGGCCCTTTCCCAGATGAGGCCTTTGAGAAGCCACTGAGTTATTGTGGCCTGGATTCCCAGCTTGACTGTCACTGTCACTGCCTTCTTTATAAAATGGCTAGGAAGGAAGGTTATGGCTTGGCGAGTGACACCAAGAACTCAGCTGTGCCTGTTCTTACTAGGAGTCTCCTCCCTTACCAGGACTCCTTTCTCCTCCTTCAAAATTATATCTATTTTAATACTTTCTAGTTCTAAAAGGAAGGTACGTCCATTATTTCCTCAGCAGTTCTGCTGTTTGTCAGACATTTGTTTTGCCATCATTCTAACCCAGGTAAACCTCTACTCAGGAAGTAGGGGCCAGCCCCGCTGGGGCCTGTAGTTTTGCTTTCTTGTCATTTAACTGGATAGTTTGCCAGAAAGCTCCCTCCAGATTGGTACCGTCTCAAAGAAGGAGGGCTTGTTGTGAAACACTGCTTCCTGAAACTTCCTCTTATTGCCTAGACTTGCTTCTGAAACTGAGCAGGGAAAGATATACTTTCCAATGGATTTGAAGGATAGGGCTTTGGAAACGGGATGGGTCTTTCAGGCTTACAGCTTGACATCCTAAAGAAGCAGAATATATTTTTCTCCTGGGAAGGGCTTTGCTGCTTAACTGGCTAAGCTGTACAGAGATGACACTATGAACTGTGTCCAGATGATCAAAGCTAGTTTGACTAGTTTGAACCTCATCAGACATTCCCCTTTAGGCATTAACATTGATGAACTGAGATCTAATGTCTCTGCAATTTAGTCTGTGGTCTTTCTTTTCTGCTGGAATAGCTATTCATGTTCTAGTGTTTTCTGTCTTTGGGTTCTATTTCAGAGGTATTTCTTGAGTAACTCCAACATCACAAAAAACTAGTAATATAATATGAGCAACATGAAATTTTATGTCTCACCTAAGATTGGGATTTTTTTTTTTTTAAGACCTGTTGTTCTTAAGGGTTCCACTGAGATCAAATTGGTTCTAAGAGTTAAAGTCTAGAGTAATCCTAGGAATTTAAATGAAATGAGTCCCTTTTCCCCCAACCAACCCTCCTCAATACTCTCCAGTTTGTCTGTCTTCCTTTTTTTTTTTTTTTCCTATCCTGATCTGCCTCCAAATCTCAAGCCCAAGGTGACTCAAGCCGACACCACCAAACCACCCAGGATCACTGTAACCTCTCCAGCCTGACTCTCCTCCCTTACTTCACCTTCTTTAACTTCCTCTGGTCTTCACATATACCCTCAGAGCTAGTCTGGAAGTGACCTTCCTTTTGGAGGTAGGGAGGTGGACCTTGGGTAAATGGCTGTTTGACTCATTAAATAGTATACAGGCTCAGCCCATAGAGTCTGGTCCTTAGAGGCCATGTGTCTTAGCAAGTACTGGAAAAGTACCACATACATGGATATATTTTCATGAGGAAGATCATAAATGCTGAAAATTCCACTAGGCTACTCAATTCTTCCTTTTGCCTATCTAGTTCTGACTTTTTATTAATTAACTGAATCCCTTTAGCAAGAGATGCAGATCTTTGTATCTCATATCTAGAGCAGATACCATTAGGCAGATATCTGGACTCTAGCCTATTGTGTTTGTAGGCCAAAAATCATAACCTGCTGTTTCTCAACAAAGCCTAGCTTTCTGTGGATCTTACTGTGTACTGATCCTGACAGAACACACTCTGCCTTGCAATAGTGGAGACCCATTCCAAATTTAAAAGGAGCCACATTAGGCTTCCAAATTAGATTGCCAGTGTTGCTGCCCATAGTGAGGTATTTGCCCCTGAATTTCAGATCACCAATCTTCCTTTCTCTCTGGCGACCTTGTGTCATCAACTATTAAGAAAGAGGCCCAGGCCACCTAAGTATTTGGATTCTATCTTAGTATTGGAATTTGGTCATTATTCCCTCTACCTTTGGAATCAGAACAAATGTGTCTTCTTCCCTCAAGCTCTCACCTAAATGCCTCCTAGGTATCTGGAAGCATGGGAAAGAACTTATTACCTCTTTGTATGCAGCCCTGGCTTGGGGGGATACTTAACATTTTCTCTACAGGTAGTGCTAGTTTTTGAGGTCTTTTTTTGCCTTCTTAATGGAAATAACCTTTTTTCTCATTTAAAAAAAAAGGTATCTGGTCTACTTTCTGCCCTCCTTTCTCCTCGTCCCACCCTCTCATATGAGCACGGCTCCCTGTGGCCACATATTCCTGCAAAGCTTTTCTGCTGCTTGGCTTTTCTCTGAACAGGTCTGAAATTGCTGCTCCTGTGATATTCTCAAAATTAACTTTGTCATGATTTTAAAATGAAATCAAAATGCATTGCTGCATTTAGCTTTTTTAATAAAGGAAAATTATGGAAAGAAAATAGGCAACACCAGCAAATTATATGTGGACAAGTTCTAAACTATATATACATACATGTATATGTATATGTGTGTGTGTGTGTGTATATATACATATAAATATATATACACATAAAAATAATCATCTAGTTCTTATTGTCATCTTACTGAAAGGAAACAAAGCCTCTAAGGATTGCCATTTCTGAGAGGCTCTTGGAAATCTTTATGTCTAAGTGATGGTATTAGATCAGCAATAATGACAATGTAATCTCAAAATAAATAAAATATTCTTAAAATGCATTCCTGAGAGTATTCCTTGCTTCTTTGAACTAGGAATTCAGAAATGAGAGAACTTTTGGGGGCGGCAGGCTGCAGAGGGCAAGTATGTGAAAAGCTGAGACAGTTAGCAACAGGCATGTTTGAATAGCATTAGCTCTCAGTCCCTTATTCCATGGTGTACCACTCTACTAATAAATACCCCACCCCACCCCACCCCATTATATGTGTAAAGAACCTGCTTTCTAAGAACCACCGCCCTGGGGAGTTGAGAAATGTAGGCTTAAAGCAGAGAAACTAAACCCTAGTTCTAGTCCTGCCTGTGCTGCCCTTAGCTGGAGAGCATAGGAAGCCAGCATCCCACAGTTTGGGATTAAAGGACCCTGGCACCCAGGACTTGAATACATCCAACCAAAGTGAAGAAAGAAATGAGTCTGGTGGAGATTTCCAAGGTTTGCCTAACTAAATCAGTAACCAGAATGTGAGTCCCACTGCCTGTTGTTTCTCAACACCAGCAGAGTAGCCATTTTTCAGTAGCTTTCTGATGGCCTCCTCCTTTGGTTGACAAACTAGTTCAACCTCCTATATGCAAGATGTTTTCTTCCCTATCAGAATCTTCTACACTTTGGCTTATGTTTATCTAAGCTAAGGGCCACAGGGCTAGAAGAGTCTGGTAATGGCTCAAGCTGGTGCCACTCCAGTTGAGAATGCAGCAGCTTGCACACTAGGTACTGCATAAACATCAATTCCTTATCTCAGTCTAGGGCCCTACAGCTTCCATTGCCTCATTATACCCACACGTGTCCTTGATGGGGAGATGAGGGTATTCTAGTCTTTTTCTACCATGTTATCCTGGCTGCCCAAACTCCTCTAAAACTAGTTTTCTTAAGACTCCCTGCATCTTGTTTTTAAACTTTCTCTGTACCAGGTGGTGTTAGCTATTTAACCAAGTACCTGACCTCTATGGATTAAAGTCGAATGCTTCCATGGGGATATGGGTATGTTTGGTCCTTATATTTATACCTCCAGCCCTCTGCCAGAAGCCTCAGAATACCTAAGCTTAGGGACAAGGGAAAGTGGTGTGATATAGGTTTAAAAATAACTCAGCACTAGAGCTATCTCTGCAAGGTGGAAAAACTTGTAGACCAGTCCCTGGCTAATTAGCTCTCAGCTATATTTATGGGTGCCCCTGTGGTCAATGGTACTGACCATTGTCATTTCTTTGTTGACAAGTAAGCCAAAAGAAACTGACTTTCTGCCAACTCCATTGGCTATAGTTAATCTGTGGTTTCTTGTTACTTCTAGGAGTTTTCTTCAGATATCTTCCTCCATATGACAAGCTGTGAAAGTTTGGGCCTATAATGAGCAGGCAGATGTCTGATCTTTACTGTCTCTCAGTCCACTGGACTGTGAAAAAGCTAGTGGATTGAGGTCTCCTCATCTTGATTCTTTGCCATCTCCATAGCACCAGTTTTTCAAACCCCTTCTCCAAAAGTGAAGCCAGAGGAGCCTTAGGCTCTGCAATTGGCTTTGCATAGGAGGCCAGAGAGGATTTGAGAGCTGTCCTCAATCCTATCCCATCTGAAAATCACTGTGCTCCCTTTGCCCTAAGGATAGGCTGGAAAAGCAACAAAGCCTCAAAACTGGCCGCTGCTGTCTGCCATCACGGTTGGGGATCTTGCTGACTGACTAGGCTCATAAAAGAGAATATGAAGTTCTGGGCTTGTCATTCCTAGAGCTCTGACTGCTTGGGAGGAGAGGTATTAAGAAGAGGGAAGGTAGAATAATTAATTCTGTTATTAAGAAATCCCAAAAGGCTGTGCTGTGGCAGGTTTACCACACTGAAGCAATGATGAGCTAGGTGTGGGCTGTGAATTTTAAAGCACAGTATGAATCTTTAAGAGTTCGTTATACCCTGAAAAAATTTCCAAAACCAAATAGTTTAGGCCTTGAGCCAGGTACTTCCTTGGAAATTTGTATCAGTTCAATTCTGCTAAGCCAGTGGGTCTCAACCACATTAGATTTTGTCTCCCAGTGGACATTTTGCACTATCTGGAGACACTTAGTTGTCACAACTTGCAGGAGGCTACTACTGGCATCTAGTGAGGGGAGGCCAGGGTTTTTATTGAACACTCTACAATGCATGGGACGGCTTCCCACAACAAACAATTTTTCAGTCAACACAAATCCTGTGTTAAACGTACATGTGTGAGGTACACAAAAATGAAGAAAACTTAGCTTTCCTCTCAAGAAGCTTATATCCAGGTTGGGGGATGGGGGAGGAATAGGAGAGGAAAAGGAAAATGGTAGGTGGGTACAGTAAGGAGATGTTGAGGACCAGGGAGAGAAAGGAACTCCGAAAGCCCCAAGGAGTGCTCGGTCAGCTCTGCCTTGATCTGTCACCTACTGACTAGGAGAGGGAAACATGAGGGAGAGAAATTGTTAAGAGAGTTGTCCCTAAGATATGGGAAGGGAAAGTAATTCCTTTAGAGCCCTTACTTTGGGAATATAGTAGAAACTATAAGGGTTTTGGATCCAGACAGACTTGGCATGACATCATCACAGCCTGAGTGGGTTGAGGAGAAAGGGAAAAGGACGGCATTCTGGAAGAACAGGTACTAACTAAATAGAATCTTTAAGGGGTAATAGAAGTTAGTCAAGAGCAGAACAGAAAGTTTTCTCCAGAGAGAACAGCAAAGACACTGAGGCAAGATAGAATATGATACCTTGGGAGTAATTAATCTTGGTGAGTCTCGGTTTCCTCCAGTAATACTCGATTAGTGAAAAACTGTCAGAGAGAGAGGTATGATATTGTTTCTGAAAGTGTCTAATGCAATGCTTGGCGGTTCAACAGTTCCCCCAGTCCCACCCGTTTGGTCCTCCTGGTTCTGTTCGGGCAGCTGGTTTGGAATTTCAGTTACCAATTCAGATTGCCTAAATACTGTAAGCTGTTTTTTAGACTAATTCTGGTGCAGGCAGACCACAACCTCGTTTGCCCCAGGTAACACTGAGCCCTTAGGAAGGATCTCAGGGGAAGGGAGGAAAGGACTAAAGAGCAGGCAAGGATGGGGGCTTGCTCTCCAACTTTGCTCCCTAGTTCACACCGTAAGAGAAGTGCCCCACTTCAGCAGAGAAAGGCAGATGACCAGGAGCAGCCCTGAAGGGCACCAGCAGTTTCAGTGAAGCGAAAACTCCCCGCCCCACCCCTCAACCCCGTCTCCCAGCTAAGCCCTCATTCCGAGAGGGCTTCGCTTCACAAATCTCGACCTCCAGGGAAGTCGAGTCCCTCGTTTCCGGCGGTGTCCCCGGCCTCAGGTGTTGCCATCCCTCCCATGCAACTAAAGAGGGATTTGGGACCTATTGCAGGAGCCAGGGTCGAGGCCTGTGGTCATAGGGAGACTGAGACTGCAGTAGAGCAGCTCAAGGCCCAGAATGCGGGAGGTGGGTTTGGGAGCCAACCTGGGAACCCAAGGCTCCCAGCAACTCCGCAGGACTTAAAATGAAATGGGGGCGCGGGGGAGGGGGGGAGTCCTTGAATGAGCCCCGACCTCCTCCAAGACCCGCTCCGAGCGATGGAACAGCCAATCACACCGAGGGGCGGGGATGCGGAAAGCGGCCGCAGCCAATAGCTGGGGAGGGGGCGGTGCCCAGCTCCCGGCGCGGGGCGATGGGGTCGCCCCGGGCAGACAGCGTGGAGCTGCTGGAGCGAGCCGCTGACGAGAGCCGCATGGAGGACCCCGCAGCGCCCGGGGCCGGGACCCTGCCTGCTAATGGCAACGGCAACGATAAAGGGAAGCAGGCGGCGCCTAAGGGCCGGGAAGCGTTCAGAAGCCAGCGGCGGGAGTCGGAGGTGAGGATCCCGGAGAGTTTCAGCTGGGGCTGGGAGACGCCCGCGGGCGGGAAGCGGTGGCTGAGGAGATTCGGCCCGGAGCCCCCGGCACGCCCCGGGCCGCCAGCCGGAATGGGCGCCTGCGGGGCCCGCCGCGAGTCGCGGGCTTTCTTCCCCTTGGCCTTTCCTCTGGGGGCGCGAAGATGTAGTGCGGTATCCAGCGAAACAAACACTTCTCAAATACCTGTCTCAGTCGGTGCAGCCGCTTCAAGTGAGGATTCGTATCTTCGACTTAGGAGGAAACAGGCGCGGAGACGTTAAGGGACCCGCCTGACCCGGGGGTGGGAGGCCGGAGCTCCGCCGCAGTGAAGAGGGGCGGGCGTGTGCGGCAGCCACCCCCCATCCCCGAGGCTGGCTTGAGCCGATCCAGATGTGCGCGTGACTTCGCTCCTTCCCCTGGCCCCTGCGCGTTGGCAGGCCCTTGAGGGGGTGCCTTCACGGGAGGCAGGACCCAACCAGTAAGGGTGAATGAGCCAGGATGCAGGCAGTGGCAGTTCAGGAGTGAGCGGATGAAACCCTCCCAGGATGCGAACCCACAGAGAGAGTATGGATGTTTGGGTCGCTTCTTACTCTTCTGAGAAGAAATCCTAACTAGAAGGATGAAGGAGTGGGTTATCATCACTCCCCTCCCCCAGTCCCTCATCCAGCCAGTTTCCATCAACTAGCCAAGAGTAACATAGGATCTGAGTGGGGATCAGGAGAATAGACCACAAAATCAGATGTGGAAGGGTTGGTAGAGATCATCTACTTTTTAGCCCTTTTTTTTTACAAAGGAAAAGAGACAAAAGTAACTTGCTCAAGACTGTACATCTGGCCTAGTGCCGAGGAGCACTAGTCCCTGAGATCAGTCAGACCAGGTTTTGAATCCCAGTGCTACCATTTACTCTCTGTGTGACTTGGCAAACTGGCAGACCTCTCTGAGCTCCAGTTTCTTCATCTGTAAAGTGAGGTTAACACTACCTACCTCAGAAGTTTATGATAAAGTCAAAATGAGATAACTGAATGTAAAATGCTTAATTCAATGCAGGCACAGTGCATGTAATTGGTCAGTATATACTAGCTCTTAGTACTACTGAATTATCATCATCAGGGGACAGAGCTGGTACGAGAAACCAGGTCGTAGGCATCCCAGTCC